CACACCGCCTTTCTTGTGAACAGCTACCTGACCAAGACCGGCATCCCAACGCTTCCGCAGCCGCCCTACAGCCCAGATGTGGCCCTCCCGGACTTTTTTTTGTTTCCTTGCCTGAAAAGGCCGATGAAAGGCAAGCATTTTGAGACGACAGAGGGGATCCAAGCGGCATGCACCGCGGCTCTCAAGGCTATTCCGGAGAATGCCTTCCCTGACGCCTCCAATGCTTGGAAATCGAGCTGACAGCGCTGCATCGACGCAGAAGGAGCCTATTTTAAAAGTTTTTAAAGAATTGTAACGATTGGTTCAATCTTTTTTTAAATCGACTCAGTCCTATTACTTTCCGGACAAACCCTGTATAGTGTTTCCGACATCAGGACTTATTTGAGTGCTTCCCAGCTTACGTCACATAACTATCATCGGATCAGCCTTACGTACCCTCTCGATATTACAAAGGCTGATCAGCTGTGGTATATCAGTCCCCTATGCAAGCTTTCATCCTGTGGTCTCCCAGAGGAGATTTACAAATGGGTTGCTGAGTTATTCTCCGGACATGAGGTAACCGTCGTTATAACGGGTTTTCCTTTCTCAGTATCAGAGGGGTGTTTCGCCAGAGATCGGATGATTTGGCACTTTTCTATCAATATGACACTGTATATTGAGAACCGGTCAGTTTGACCACTCCTTTGTACCTAGAATAGCATCAACAAGGTATATTTACCTTTCTTATAAAGCGTCCCAAAATTCCGACTGGTACTTTCCAAGTTATAGTCGGGCCAGACAGACAGACAGACCGACGTAAATGAGTGACAGTTTTTTTATGATGTCCATGTCATATTATAAAAATATATTTTTTCGCAATTACAATACTTCCTCTCCGGTAGACGTGGGAAGTAAAAAGAACCAATCGTGTATAGTATTTTACGAGGCTATTCGAAGGGATCTTGTTCCAGGAATATATCTCTGGCATTAAAATGGTGGAAATGTATGGTCGTAATAGAGAGCGAGCATTTGATACGTTTCTTCAGCTTAATTATATTTGTAAGTAGCAGCTCTTGAAATGTGTCTGTTTCAGAGGCGGATTCATCAATACATCCTTTATGCGCTTGTAGCACATGTTAGTTTTATCTGTATCACAGTGGCGTAACGTCACAGCTTATGATTCTTGTGGATCGTCTAACGGGGAATTTGGAACTGGCATAATTTTGACGGTTTGCCTTTTTTTCATGTCGTGGTCCTCTTTCTTATGTTGGTGTAGTCATACGGGCCTGTTTAATGGCCTATGCGCTGACTCCTCATGGTGGCCGGTATGCCTCTAATTCCATAATTCATTCATACAGTCTAAACTAGTGATCGTCATGATGATTTCGATGTTCTCGCCAAATCATGGGTGTCTTGAATTCAAGAGCAGATCTTTTTCCACTGGACCATCGCCTCGAACATGCATCACAATTTTGGCATTTTGGATGAGATACGCAGGGTGACTGTATCTGCAGTTTGGATATTCTCACTCCAGGTATATCTGGAAACATATGAGCCTAAATTACACATCAGTCAAATAAGATCGTTGATTTTTGTCATTACAGTAAATGATTCTATTTAATAACGTAACGGCCACGGTTTACGATATAATCAAAGACCTATACGTGTACTCTAAATAACTAGTGGAAAATTAGAAATTCTTTGTATACATTTCTGACTCAGTCTACCTTCTACTGTATGGAATAACCTCTCAGCATTCTCTTGGAATGATTATTTCCCACTAGCCTGTCGCACCTCTTTCCGTGCCCAGCAGCAGAAAGTGTGGTGTCTATTGATAGTAACAAGTGATGTATGTCAATTTGTTTTTTTTTTTTATAATTCACTTGTTGTTTCTATGCAAACATGTTTTTAACCATTTCATGTATTCTTACATTTTTGGTATAAGACTCGACTGGACTGTGACAAATAGTCTATTATAGGCGGGAGACCATTTTAAAGGAACTTTTTTAATGAAAAAAGCAGCAGAGATAACCTATCAAAAGCTTAAAATGTATTACATAAATAAAGATACATACAAAAAAGTTATACGTAATTTTGAAATTTGCATTTTTTCAGGATCTGATACACATATTACAGGCATACGTACTGTGTAGGTATGTCTAAGAACCGTAAATTATTTGGTAAAAAGCTAGTAATTTTCATTTGAACAGATTGTTTTCTTGTATAATTATTTAGAATAGCAAATTGAATTTTATTTAATTTGGTAAGTGTGGCTGTACTGTCTTCTTCTTGCTGAAAATATCGTTGCAACTTTTTCACGCAGTTTAATGTCTCCTTAGTTGTCTTATTCATCGTTGTTTTCTAGTTCGTCTTTCTGTTCGTTATCAACGGATCCTTCATTAACCAAACTGGAGTCTGACAATTCCTTTGTTGCTATTAAATTATTGTCAACATTTACATACTCATTAAATTTGTCTATATTCAGTAAACCATCAATTTTCAGTAAATCGCTTAATGGAATTTCATCTTCTGGATTAAAATCGTTGACTATTTCAGTTATGTTTTTCTCTAAACCAGCATGGCGAAAAGAATTACGAACTGTTTCTGGAGTAACCAAGTCCCATAAAATAGTAAGCAAATTTATAGCATCTAAAATGGTGACAGCTTTGGTAATGTTGACATCTTCTTGAACCTCCATAATTTTCATCAACATATGTTTCCAATACATTTCGTCGGTCTCCGCACGTACCGGCGTAACTAACATTTTACAAATTTTACAGGAGAGCTAGAAAACGAAAATCAGCAATAAATGAGATTGAAAATGACATACTGATTTTTTAGTCTGCACGTTGCTGTTTTTTTTTTTTGTTAGACTAAAATGAACCAATTTTAACGCAGAGGCGTAAATCTATTTAAGCCGGTCCGTGAAAATTGTTTTCGGAATTTTATAACTTACGCAATTTTCTGAAAATTGTATTTCTTAGCAGCGAACTGATATACAGCTACGTCATTTAGTGAAGTGAGAGACTACAAAAAACTATGTGAAATTATGGCGTAACTCGATTTTAGATTATTTATCATTTACGCCTGTACGTGTGGAGACCGACGATTTGTTTAAAACTCCAAATGATACCGTGATCCATTGGTTGCAGAACTGATGTCACATTGGGTGGAAAAAATTGAAGGTTGATGTTATTAAGTGAATTTGGATGAGCGGGGCAGTTATTGACCAAGAGCAAAATTTTACGATTTAGCGTCCCACTTTTTTAACTATTCTTCAAAAATTGATGAAGTCGTCCAAGGTTTATTATTTTCAACATAATCGACGGGAATTGTTTTAACATTTTTGAAACACCTGGGATTCTTAAATTTCCCTGAAATAAAAAAGTCATACATTCTTTGCAGCACTGCCATTGAATATCAAAACAATTAGAACATGGATTTCTATTCATTCACTTACCTATTATCAATAGTTTCCATTTTTCAGTACCATAAGCATTAGTACAAATCATAACAGTTATTCGCTCTTTTGATAGTTTCCCTCCATTGCAAGTTTCACCTTTTAATTTATGAGTTTTATCTGGTAGCATTCTATAAAATATCCCGGTTTCATCTGCATTGAATATGTTATCATCTGAATAATCACTGAATATTACGAGCCAAACTGGAGAAATCCAGTCATTGGTAACGTTCTTGTCAACTGAAGCAGACTCACCACACATTTTTCCAATGTTCCAATGTTATCTTTTGTTAAACCTGTCTAGCCAACCGGAACTACATTTGAAGTGATCTTCAATCAAATTCCTAAATTCTTCAGCCTTTATTTGTAGCATAGGTCCACTTATTGGAAAATTATTAGCACGCTTTTGTTGAAACCATTTAAACAGCATATCATCGACTTGGGGATGCAGCGATAGCCGCATTTTTTTCCTTTGACTATTTGATTTCCAGTCATTTTTAATTTTGCCACGGTTTTTCCAAATATTTGACACAGTGGATTTTTGCATAGCCATACGAGCTCACTAATTATTGTGAACTTTTCGTGTCGCGAGACTACCAAAATAGCTCGCATATAATGGATTAAAAGAGTCCTCTATAAGCGAGGATCTATTTTAGGCGAGTCTATAATATCGGAGGATTTTACATTTAATTATTTATAGGACCTTAAATTGTGTCCATTATATACGTGTTTCCATTATAACCAAGTTCATTATAAGTGTATTCCACTGTAGTTATTTATTTATATATCTTGAAACACAAACCATAAAACTCAATTTGTAAGATATCGTACGCGACAAGCATTTCCTTTCTCTGAAGTTGTTTACTGAGGATCTGTTTCGTCGTTTTTTGCCACCTTTTTCCACAAGTAAATTAAGTATCTGGCCAAACCTCAAAGTGTGAATCATTGAGTGAACTTTATAGGTAAAATGGGTCCGATAATGCTTCGTTTTCAAAATTCAGGAAGATAAACTTTTTGTGAAATATTTTTCAAGAAAAACTTCCTGCACATCAATGCTGCGATTACCACTGCGCCCCCCACCCCTGCCTTGGACAGGTTCCTAAATCAGCCTTTGATAAAAATCTAAATACTTTTCCAGTCAGTTTTGCTGACAGTTGTTAAAACTTCCCGTGCAAGATGTACTGCTATAAAATTAAACTAAATTGACTAGGACCTAGAAACTAATGTCCCAAGAAAATCTTAACGAAATTAAATCCAGCAATTCAGATGGTGATGTCGAAGTCTAATAAAAATGGCTAGGCTAATCACGATTTTTGGGTAGATACGAATTTATAAGGAAAGTTTGACATTTTAGTTTGGCTGGGTACTGTATCAAGACCATGTGTAGCTAGCTATATAAATATTGAAACATAAACCAAGAAACTGAATAATCAAGGTAGCGCACAGCACTGGAATATCTTTTCAGTTGTTTTCACGCCATAATATGAGAAGGCCGATGGCCCCGGTTAACTAAGATTATAATTATATTTTGAATTATACTTAATTTTTTTGTTCGTTTTAGGTATGTTCTTATATCGTGTTACCAATACTACAGTTGGCTCTATTCGAAAATTTCCATATGGGTACAGCTCATTTTTATATGGGGTGTCGCATTTTTATTAATGGTAGGTTGACATTCGAAATATATGTTGTTATAATATTTATTAGGTGACAAATCTTTATCAATGGCTGGGTCAAATCGAGCAAGGAGCAGTCATACCGACCAGTTCATGGCATACGGCGATCTACAAAGTTAGAACGAGCCTAGTGCCTCCGAGGAGTAAACTTTGTTGGTATATCGACAAATGAGAGCCAGATAACCAACCGCCCGTCAGTGTCAGAGAGGGCTGAACTCTGAGCTCTGACAAGCCAGAATGAATGGCTTCCTGGCATAGCTCGGCTGTCCATCAAAACAGAAGGCAGTGTGAAGTGTCCTGCAGTTACTTTGTTGAATACAATCTCTACGTTATTTCAATTTATCGATCCCCCACCACTATAGTTTCTGAAAACGAGGATCACTCTGTATTTTTAAAGATGTTAGAAGGTGCCTTAAGCAAGCTGTCAAATAAAAACATAATTATTGCAGGAGATTTGAATATAAGATTTGAAAGTAGTGACAAACATTGCTCAGCTACCCCAGATGTACTAACTACTTATGGTTTTGAACAGATAATAAAAGAGAACACACGAAATAACCATTGTATTGATAACATTTTTATAAATTTCAACATAGATTCAAGTGTAGCATCTATTGATTCAAATTTCTGTTCTGATCATCTGGGCCAAAAATTGATATTCTATCCACCTGTTGTGACATCTCGCAAGTCAACCAAAACGGTGTATAGACCTATCACAGAGTATGGTAAGTTAGTTTTCTAACTAAACAGCTTTAAGAAAAAATATAAACAAAAAATAAATGCATCGAAAAAAAATGATAATGAACAAATCATTAAAAAGTCTAACAACCCAATGAAGACTATGTGGGAAATTGTTAGGAAAAACAAAAATACAAGCACTGTTATGAATACGTCAAAAGAACCAAATGAATTCAACGACTTTTTCTGTACCATTGCGAATAAACTGTTAGAAAACTTGGATGCAGGACAGCTACATCCAGAAAGTAATATACTTCCACCAATGCGCCACTTCAACCTTAAAAAATTATCATTTAATGACGTCAGAGATGCTATCAATTCTCTTAAAAGAAAGAACTCTAAAGATATTTATGATATGAGCACTCCTTTAATAAAATTGAAATCATAATGCCTCTAACCAAATTAATAAATATTTGCATTGAGTGTGGCATATTTCCGGACTGCTTAAAACGTGCAGTTGTGATACCGGTTTTCAAAAATGGCGATACTATCGCCCAATATCATTACTTCCTATTCTCAGAAAAATTTACGAAAAATGCTTGGTGAGACAAATGGTCTTACATTTTGAAATTGATAACGTGTTCTATTTGAACCAGTTTGAATTTCGATCTCAAAAAACACGACCTTCGCAGTTTTGGAGTTGGCCGACGACATAATTGACGCTTTTGAAGAAAAATAATTCTTGCAGACCATATTCTGTGATTTGAGCAAGGCATTTGAGTGTGTATCACATACCATCTTAATCAGGAAGCTCAGAATGTATATCTTCGGAACAGCTTCTTGCAACCTAATCAATTCGTATTTAACAAATAGAAAACAGTTAGTAAAAATCGGAATTAAAACGTCAGACGAAAAGCATATTGATCACGGTGAACCCCAGGGCTCAGTTCTTGGGCCGATTTTATTTCTAATATATCAATGATCTGCCGAGCCACAAAGATGGAAATTATATACTATTTGCTGATGATACTGCCATCTCTGTTAGATCAAAACACATTTCTGAGCTTCTTGAGAAAGGTGAAATCGCACAGTCGACTGCCAAAAACTGGTTTGATGCAAATAAGCTGACCCTGAATGAAAACAAGACAGTTAATATGATATTTTCATTGAAAGATCCAGAAACACAGCATACAGAACATACAAAATAGGTATACACGCATAACGTCATTAAATATTTCTGCTGTTCTATTAGCAGAATAAAGCGTTACAAGTTATTTTAGCAACAAAGTTTGGTCAAATCAATCGCAAACTATGTACTAAATTCCTATTTAAAATAAGTACGAGATATTTCCTTATCTTTCTTCAAGAAATAACTTTTTTGCCACAAAAAAACGCTCCAATAGATATTTTCAACAACAAAATGATAAAAAAACCATGGGCGTAGTGAAGAAAAGCATTTACTTTTTAAGTAAATTCTTTTAGTCAAATTTCTTCTGAAAGTAGTACAAACTAATCTGATGTACCTATTAAATAAAGTCTACTTTAAGCTTTAAATCAATAAATCTTCAAAACTACTGAACTGAAGTACATTAATTTTATATCATTATAAAGGGAATTGAAAATAAGGTATCACTCGACCCCCCTTTCCATTTAAGATTTTGGGGGTGGTGTCACCCCCGCTTAGGGGGCTGCACGTGCTAACGTGATTTTTTGCCAAACTTGTGTACCCCTCGAAAACAAAATCGATGGGTCTGAGCGTTTTTCAAAAAAAAACTGAGCTGCCAGTAAATGCGTCTGTTTCGTTTTCGATGCGCCACCCTGTATATCTACTAAGGTTTAAAAAGATTAAAAAATCTATAGATATGTATATTTGCAGCTTCCACCATTGCTTGGTATCTGGGGGCAACTTGGATTGAATCCCTCAACATTCTCGTGCACGATATTGCAGAAGGATGGAAAATCTCCGAAAAAAATTATTTTTCTGATCGGATTTGCCTTACCTTGTACTGTAATAATTATTGCATACTCCTGTATATATTACAGTGTTCGGAAGTCGAGGAAGAAGTTGAAATCTCACCAGTAAGTATTCAATAAAGAGCCTGCTGAATTAATATTTTTAAAAAACGTCAAAAAGGTTGATATATTGGTTGATAAAATAATGTTTATTCCAAAAATAGTGCAGCTGAGCGAGACAGTCTTCAAGTAGAATCATTTTAACTTTAAGATGTGGGAACCTGCTGTAAATTATCTCTTCCCAATGATCGTCCTGAGAAAAATTCCTGTGGGCGTCTATGAATACTGTTACTAATTTTCTGCAAAAAAATACCAGTGGAGGACTGTTTCACTACCCGCTGACGAGGAAGTATTGTAATCGAAAAAAATTCAGAAAAAGAAATTTTACGTTCCTTTTTGGATGTTACATGAAAAACCATGTCACTCATTTCCGTCTGTCTGTCTGTCTGTCTATCCGCTAATCCATGGCCCTTCGAATTTTGATGAAATTTTCAAACAAGGTTACTATGCCAAGGACGGAAATGCGTAGTTTTCGAAAAACTAGGGGCGAAAATGAAAAAAAAGGAAATGGAAATCGCTCAAACATCGTTTTTTGACATTTCATTTTATTCATTACAACACCCTACAGTGAATACCAATTACAGGGTGAGTAAACACAGAACATAACATAGATATAAAAGACAATAATAAGTAATAGACTACAAAGTGTAAAAGGTACATGCTGGTTAATTAATGGTATTTTTTATGTCTGCAATTCTGCAGTTAAATATATTAATCCGGTTACTTGCAGAATTGTAATTCCTACACATCACATGCAAAGGGGAGTAATGTAAATAATTTGTCCGTGCCGCAGGTAGATAAAACGTACCGTTTTGTCGGGATGTCAGCCTAGGTACGTTAAATGATAACTGACCCAAGAAAGCTAAATCATCACTAGCATTATTGATCAATTTAAACAGAAAAATCACTGTCTGGCAAGTGCGCCTTGCTTCAAGACTGCTGATTAGATGTTTTTCAAGTAAGAAATCATGAGGTATACCTATGGGCGGATAAACGCCATCCACTTTCAGTGACAAATATTTTAAGAAACGTGTTTGAACACATTCAAGCCTACTTATATGAATAATATGATGCGGATTCCAAATTAGCAATGCATACTCAAGCTTCGACCTAACATATGCATAAAACAGCAACTTTGAGTGAAGTCACGGCAGCTTCTTACAACAAAGCCGTACATGCGGTTTGCCTCGGAAATTTTGCTGTCAATGTGTTTGAAGAATGTTAGTTACATAAAGTTGAAGTCCTCTGAATAGAGGTAGGTAGCTGACAGGGTATAGTCAAATAACAGAGGATTTTTCTTCAAAGTGTAAGACATTACGTAACATTTGATGTTTAATGGTAGATTCTTTTGTGAGCACCAAGCATCCAACCTAACCAGATTTTCTAAAATTTGATCACAGTCTGATTCATTAACTACACGACAAAACATCTTCAGATCATCAGCGTAAAGTAAACAATTCTCGCCAACAGCATTAACTATGTCATTCACAAATATGACGAACAATAAAGGCCCTAGGTTACTGCCTTGTGGCACTCCGGAATTAGCTACATACTCCGACGATCTGATACCATTAAACATCACAAATTGATTTTTCCCAGTGAGGTAGGACTTAAATAGTTGTATTAAAGACTCGGATAATGCATAAGATTTCAGCTTATGCAATAGCATCCTGTAATCAACTCTGTCGAAAGCCTTGGAGAAGTCCGTGTAGATCACATCTGCTTGTAATCCTCTGTCAATCTTTTCTACTATGGTCTGTGTGAAGTTCATCAGATTTGATACTGTTGAGCGCCCTTTCATGAAACCATGTTGTTGAACACATATTTTTCTGCTGACATGATGATATAGTCTGTTATATATTAATATCTCTAGAACTTTTGAAAAATTGCACAATATTCATATAGGTCTAAAATTTGATACATTATTCCTACTGCCGTTTTAGTGTATTGGACATACTTTAGACAACTACCATAATTCTGGAATTGTGCAGGTGGTCAGACACAAGCTAAATAAATAAATAAATTTCAACGTTTATTCTCGAAATTCCTTTGAAGGGTAGAAAACTGGGTGTTGGGGTAACTCTGCTAATTCTGCGCACCTATTATACGCATTTTACGCGTAGATTTCCCCGTATATTTTATTTACCCTTTATTTTATAAGAGAACGAATAAACAAAAGATCTTGTCGCGAAAGAGGCTGGGTTTAGGTCCCGTCGACCGCAAACACGGCTTAGTCAAAGGCGTCCGCTGGAATTTTTCTCTGGGCGGCTGATTAGATATTGGCAAGAGGAAACTTTTTGTATATTATTATTTTTTATTTTTTTATTTATTTAGCAACATCCAACAGCCATAGCCAATTACAGGATGGATAAACATGAAAATATAAACAAATGCATGTTGTGGATGTATGTAGAGAAAGCTAAAACGCTACAAAAGAAAAAAAAAACTCAAAACAGAACTGGGAGGAAAAAAAAGCGTTCTAGCTTTACCTACCAAGCACTCAACAATCACACCGGCAAGCATTAACGAAAATAAGCATTAATGTCTCCCAAAGTCGCACAAAACGAAAATATATCTAAAACGCTATTAACTGAATTATAATTACGGCACATTATGTATATAGGGGAAAACTTAAGTATGTCAGTCCTAGGCCTGGCTAAGTAAAAAGTTAAACTAGTTCGTGACGCTAATCTAGGAATTAAGAAGTTAAGCTGTTCTAAGATGACACTGGAGTCAATAATGCCATGGATGAGCTTGTGAATGAACTTAAGTGAATTCATTTTGCGTCTGCTCTCTAAATTATAGATTTTGTGTCTCGCCATCAACTCATTATGAGGAAAGCCAATAGCGGGATATATCCCGTCAGCTTTGTATGAGAGGTATTTTAAAAACTTTCTTTGAACGGACTCTAAGCGGTCAATATATATTTGATGATGAGGATACCATACCAGGGACGCATACTCAAGCTTAGATCTTACATAAGCATAGTACAGTATTTTCAGTGTAAAGGAGTTGTGGAAATCACCGGTATTTCTTAAAATAAAACCATACGCCTTTGATGCAGCCACAACAGCATTTTCAATGTGGTAAGAGAAGGAAAGTTTTCTGTCAAATGTGACTCCCAAGTCATTAATTGTACTAGGTCTGTCAAGTTTCCTGTCACCAATACTATATTCATACATCATTACCCCTGTTTTTAAAGTAAACGACAAAACGTGACACTTAGCAGCATTCAAAACAAGTCTGTTTTCACGACACCAGTTGTCAACCCTTACAATGTTGCATTGCAAGCGATGACAATCGTCAATGTTAGAGACTCTACAGAAAAGTTTCATATCGTCAGCATATATAAGAAAATCGGCATCGATAACTTCAGAAATATCATTTATGAACATAATAAATAACAGAGGTCCCAAATTAGATCCTTGAGGAACACCGAACATTACAGGGTATTCGCTTGACTTATGTTCATTGCACATAACATATTGTTTCCTATGACATAAATAAGATCTGAGAAATAGCAACAATGCATCTGAAAGACCAAATCTAGATAACTTATTGAGTAGAATGTTATGGTCTAAACTATCAAACGCTTCAGAGAAATCAGTATATATTACATCCGTTTGAAGCAGCCCCAATAATTTTTGAAGAGCGGGAGTAACAAATTTTCTAAGGGTGGGCCATGTTTTGAAAATCTGGAATTTCGCAGACAAAATTATGCTAAATAGGCATAGGGTCTTAGGAGGCAGCCGAATTTGCAGGGGGACATGGCCTGGGGCTATTTGACTGACTTGGTCCATTGAATTCCCTTATTATAGATGTTCCTAGTTAATTTCTTTCTAAGATGAGCTAACTTAGGCCCTTTATAGATGGACAACAACGTTGCGTGGCACGTACAGAGTCAATCTACTTTTTCGCTAAACATAAATACTTGCCAGCACTGGTGTAAGTGCTTTAGGAAAAAATTCTGTACACGTTAATGTACATGATTAAAAGACATGCACGTGTAGTATGCAAACTAAGCATTATCACGGACATCAGGTAATACCCTGTATGAGGAACGTTTTAAAAAATTGTTATTTTTCAGGCCATTGCCAGACAAAAGGATAACGAAGAGAGAAAAAGACGACCGCAGATTGACAAAATTGATGGCCATAATCTTCATATGCATTCTTCTATGTTTCTTGCCATTGATGATCGTCAATGTTTTCGATGACAACGATCCAAAATATCCAGTTCTTCATATATTAGCGTCAGTGCTAACCTGGGCATCCAGTGTGATAAATCCTTTCATTTATGCAGCTAGCAATAGGCAGTACAGATCTGCTTATTCGAAATTATTCAGGATTGTTAAATCGAGCGTAGCCTTTTCTGACTCGAAACAGGGCTCAAGAGCTTCCAAAGAGAAAATTGGCTCAGTTACTTTGAAACCCAGTGGAGCTAGCAGCTAATCTACAGATTTTTTATTTTTAGGTGGTTATAGTTACAAAAAGTTGTATAATGAACTCCAGGAAAAATGTTCATGTTTAGGCTTCAAGGGAAGAAAAAATTTTTTACATAAAATCTAATGCTAGAAAAAGTATGATTTGCTACAGTAGAAAAAAGTTTTAGGCTACTACAGTACAGAATTTGAGACTGCATTATCGCGCTGTTTCCCTAAACGGATTAATTTTATCCAAACATGTTAGGACGCTTTATTATCAACAAACATTTTCATTTCTTGTGGTGTCTTGGAACACATTGTTTCTATCAGTATGCATTCCCAAGAAAAACAAAATAAATATAGAATAATGAAAATGAACAAAAAAAAGATAAGACTGAAAGTTTTCTTCATAATTATGTAAAACCAAATATGCCCTAGTTAAAATTCTGCCAACTTAGGAAATATTCACAAGCTATAGTTAGGCTTCCTTTTTTGTATTCCAGTGAAGTTACCATTTATGTGTTTGTTCAGAATGTACTTTTTTCTTTATATTGTATATTATTTTGATAATTATGTGATATATATTTTTGTAATGTATAAATCTATATATTTATTCAACTTTCAGCAGAAATGCATATCTATTTTTATAGTCTGACAAGAAAATTGTCTTACATACCTAAATGTTTATATTCACATTTTTATAAAACTGAAATAAATATTTAAAGAAAAGCATTGCATGGTTTAATCATTTGTGAGTCTTAATGATGTCCTCAACTTGAACGTTGGAAATGGGAACAATCTCTACGTTTTATTTACCTCTTCATCACGTTACTTACAACAGAAAGCAAAGCTATAGGCCTGTAGTTGTAAGAGTCGGTATTAGATCCTTTTTTTACGTAGGATCGATAGTTTTCAAGATTTTCGATCAAACACGTTTACCAAAATGGCAGCAAATGTTGCAACCCTATCATGACGCCAGTTTAAACCTATCGTTGGGAAGTTATAATCTAACGACACCACCAAAATAATTTACTATCGCCCCAATTGTAGAATTTTCTTATACAGAAGCTCCCTCTTTCTTGGCTTATTTCTGTTTCTTCGCCACAGCATGATGATATTATAATCGGTTACATATCTAGGAGCTGCTAGACTAGTAATATTCAAATAACAAAATATCGTAAATGCACATCTTATAGCGTTAAAAAAATGCCCATGTCACACACGTTTTTTTCTTGTGATCGTGAATTTCTTGGAAACGTAAATCAATTTTTAGCATAAAAAAGCCTTCTAGAATCTCAAATATAATTTTAATATCACTCGTAATAACTGGAATAAATACCAATAACTACTTCCCCAAGGACTAGGTATACCTTATTTCACGAGTATCTATCACAGTAGAATGACAGCTGGTTATCTAGTTATATCTCAAAATTCCCCATATCGGCACAGAACACATAATTCTGACGGATCCGTGAACGCCAGGTAGACAGATCCGAATTTTGTTTTGGTTGTTTGTACACTACAGTTTGTACTTGCTAACAGCTCTTTTAATTAGAAAAGTTCATTTGCATACATAAAACAAAACGCCACAAACCAGTTTTACTAGATTTGCCAACGTTGCAGACTAACACAAAAATGTCGCTTGCTGATCAGCTGTTCACCTCAGTAGACGTCAAAGCGTCATGGATACTCGTGAAATAGGGTATACTCGGTATTCGAATCTGACCGAGTACTCGGTACTCGACTTTTTTAAGAAAGTAGTACCCGGTGCATCTCTCAGTAGACGTCAAAGCGCCATGGATACTCGTGAAATAGGGTATATTGGGTATTCGAATCTGACCGAGTACTCGGTACTCGACTTTTTTAAGAAAGTAGTGCCCGGTGCATCCCTAGTCGTAGTAGTCTAAAAAAAGCCACAAATATCCACACCTATTTCGAAAATTTGAGTGGGCCCACAACCTCTCTATTTCTGTATTAGGCACGCAACAGCATCAAACAGTTTCACTTGGTTTGATCTAAAAATGATAACAGGCCTTTTATTTCTGAGAAAAGAGTCACATAATGGCGAAGTTTAGTTGTATAGACTATTTTACAATTTGACATCAAATGTTTAGCTAATTTATATATCAACGAGACTAAGTGTCAACGTATACAAAGTAATCCAAAAACGCATATTTTTATTAACTTGCATGACTGGACAGAGCTTGTGACATTGGGGATTGAAAGAAAGCCAATAGCCCAATTTCCTCTTATGAACGATCCGCCACTGGTAATATTACTTGAGCTTGTCTATTCCAGTAACCCGTAGTATACGTAGCTGAGGAACTGGTTGCATATACTGTTGAACTGGAATGTCACATCTCGCATCTAATTTTAAGCTGGCAACGCTGGATTTGACGTAGAACGGTAGAGCGAGAGCGTGATTTCATTGCTCATGAATCCTCGTGACCATTCGTCTTTTTAATAACTGATCGATACAAATAAATATGGTGAATGTGTTGGCCCGAGTAGAGATAATATAGCCACGCAAAACAACTATTGAAATATACTCTGCTAGAGTATCCGTAGCGAAATATTTCTCGAAATCGTTGCACACCGCTTAAAAAATGCAAATCAAGATTGGAAAACTACCGCTTTAACGTACTGACTCTACTCCATCGTTACCCCGGGATAGACATACGTTTTGGCAGTTGACCTTGTCATACTGGAGTCTAGTATCAATACTTTTCCCACCCACTTTTCACAAGCTATTCTATGTTGCATGTCGATGCATGTGCATCTGTACAAAACCGCTCCCATACGATATGGCGAATGCCTTACAACGTTGGACACATGGCCATACGCCACATCGTGTGAGAGAGCGCTGACGGATTGCATGTGTCCAGCGTTCGCCACATGGCACGTTCGGGTTCTTGGTAAATTTTCTTCGCGTCAAAGGACTTTACAACGTTGGAAGCATGGTTCGTTACGCTCCCACACGAGATGTCATATGTTTGATGGTTTTAGGTCAGAACCAGTAGCGGCGACAAACATTATTTATTTGTTTGCTGTGTTTGTGGTGAAGTAGTGGAATGTGGGAAGTATTTTGATTTGAATACCTACCTATTCATAATAATGTATGTTCTGTAACTAACTTTTGAGAAGCATGAATTAAATTAGTATACATAGAAAACATAGGCTGTCATAACAGCACTTTTTTCACATTGCTAATATTTTGTACGTTTACCAGGTGAGTTCTGGCTGGCCTAAGGATATGTATTTTAGTAGATTATAGCAGTTGTTTCATTATAATGTCCTGTTGCAATGCAAGACTAGTTGAGGAATATATTGATTTGCATTTCATAACTAACGAAAAAGATTAAAGAAATGATAACTCTGAAAGTATTATGAAATTTTGACCCTAGGTTACAACTATGAAAATGAAAAAGCTCAGCAGCTATCGTCGAAAAACGGTCAAACTTCGTTTTTCGACATTTTTGAGGCTTCTGACAGACTTGATCGCTGAGGTACATCTGAAATTGTTTTTCGGAGCTCGAAAAAAATGTTTAATCGTTTCTTTTGTATAATTTTTCTTTCAGTTGTAAAGGTTCAAGTGCGACACTGACACCGATAATGGACTTTGGCACCACCATGCGTCGAACGTCCGAGACTAAAAAGTTCATCCCATCGTGTTGGAGACACACTTGCCAATTGTGGGGTGTCGAACGTTGTAAACATCGTGTGGGACCCGCATAAAACGATCTATGTGTCTTTAGTGTTTTGTGAATGACAGATGACGTTCGTGACGCGTGGTCACGTTGACAGTTGCACAATGGATTTTCAAGTTGCATTTCCTACTCACGTATTTCTATGAATCCGTGCGAGAAAGTGTGCATATTTCTTGATTTTGATAAAAATATTCAAGTCAAACAAAATTGTAAGCAGTTTACAGTTTTGTTCAGGGTAATTATTAATTATTCCTGTAATTCCTCAAAGATACCAGCGGAAGTTCGTATACAATTCGTAGTGGTACGGAACACAACGAACCGTTATATAAATTCACAAACACTGGTGTAGATCAGGGTAGTGTAGAAAACATCCGTGAAAACTAATGAAACTGTAATTCAATAATACGAAAATACGTTTCTAGGTGTTGGCTAGAGGGTGAGTGGTATATTTATTGTGAAATGTGGCCAAAAATTCTATTGTCTGCATTGTCGTGAGTGTGCTTTTCAGTCATTGTTTTGTCAGTTTACTTATTCCAAGATGGCGACCTAGCGTATGTATGTGAGCTTTCGATTTTTACAGAATTTCATTGAAACGTTGAAGTGTCGCTTGTGTGTTTGTTCAGAAATCGGTTGTTTAAGATTAATATAAAATCATTTTTCCTTTTTCATAAGTCTGGCTTGCTCATAATTGTTAAAGAATGACTAAGCAGTTATCTTTTTATTGATATGTCGTTTTAATGGTTACATACCTATCTATGCAGGTAGGTATACAAAAACAATTTTTTCTTGGAAGGTCGCGTTATCAACGTGTATTTGTCATTATTGGAATTTTGCCTTTTAGAAATTAAAAAAATCGGGACACTAGTGATAGATTGTGAAACTGCTGGAGTCGCCGTGACTTCTCTAGCTGTTCCGAGCTGTTGATTCCTGGTTTTGTCTCCTAATTACCGCAAGACGTGAGTGTTTACGTTTGAAGTTGGTTGATTCCTTAACAAAGTCATAGATAATGTAAAAACGCATATTTTGTCGGAAAATAGGGCGGAACTGTCAAAATAGTCACAGTAATATGTTGAGCTGATCCCTAACAATAATAATATATTGATTGACTGTTTTCTCCCTTGTTACAGCTGATCAAATGGTACCAACTATAAATATGAAGTAAACAGCATCATCAACATGAAAATAGACAGATCAAGAGTACGCAAGGGTACTTCTGATGTACCCTTGGAATGCCAACAGCTGATTGAGCGTCTCCAGAATTGCTCGCGTACTGAACTGTTAGATGAGCTATCTAGAATTCACACTTGGACCTTCGGAAAGTGTGAATTGCTGCACTGGGCATCTGTCCTCGACATTTTTGACAAAATTTTGGGACAGGCTGCTGAGCGAGCAGCAGACAATAAATACATCCTCAAATGTGATACTTACAATGAGCAGGTATGCGATTATTTTGTATAGTTTGGATTTTATCTGTGACTTATGAGCTGGGGCAATTTTGCAAACTAATTTGGAAGAAATAAGTTATGGTTAATGTTCAGAACACCCACATAACCAGTAATCTCTTTGCTAATTGGTACTGTAGTAAAGATGGTGTTGTGCTACTAACTAGCAGAATTATAAGTAGCCCATATAAAATATATAGATTAGGTAGATTGCTGAATGCTTTGACTTTATATTATAACGCGTTGGTTTTAACCACAGGTTTGTTGTAAGTTGCTTATTTTAGAAAAGCACGTATATAATTTCTGATTATTTTTATTATTACTTAATAGTCGGTGCTTTTTTGTATACAACAGTGTATCGAAAGTTTAAAAAAGAAACATTTTTAACGATGGAACCATGGCTTTGTAAGCTATAATAACTTTCAATTCTCTAAACTTTTTCACATGTGAAAGAAAACATTTATTGATTTAGCAGAAATAATAGGAAAAAGCGATTAAAAAAGATATTAGCAAAACTGTATACAGGTGGACATCATCCAGTGAGTTTATAGGGCCATATTTTAATATTCTTGTGGTATATGGCTACACAGGATACTTTGTTAAGCATAGGAAATAGATTTAATGAGTCCCCAACAACAGTAATGATTATAACTAATAAGGTGCTCTACTTTATGGTAAAACTGAAGTCAGCCTGTATCAAGTTTCCCAAAAATGAAGCTGAAGTACAATAAAAATATCCAATACCTGGCAGATTTCTAACTTGTCAAATTTCAAATAATAACCAGAAATATAAAACTACTCCTGAGATGGTTAATACCACAATTTTGCGGTGATAACTATGACATATAACAGCTGATTCATGATGTCTCGGATCTTATAACCAAACTGATAACCACACTCGCTTGACAGGATCGGTAAATACCAATCCAAAATGGTAAATACCATTTTCATTTGGTTGTTCGCTTGAATTTAATTAAAGATTTGTATATTGAAAAACAGGGGCAGAGCTTCAAAAATATGTTTCATCTTGAGAATATGGGTTGGTTTCAAACCTTGAATTGACATTTACTTTTGAATGAAGTGGTATGTAAATTTAAAGTCATGTGCCTCCCACATAGCCAATGATCTCTTTCTTTATAAGTTAATCCAACTTAAATTGGTGTATTTTGTCTTTGAAGTCTTTACAACATTTGTCCCATTGCTACTAACAGTTATTTCCTCAATGAGATTGAGGGAGCCGGTTCAAAAAAAAAATTCTTCAACTATTGTTGGTGTAGTGAGATATCACTGTATTTGTTTATTTTAAACTGAAAAGTGACATGCCCATCATTGTTTGGAACCTATTTATCTACTTGCCACAACTGCTTAGTTTGGCTTTCCAGTTACCAGTAGCACCAATATTATTTTTATTAGGGATGCACCAAGACTACTTTTTGCAAAAAGCTAAGTACTGGGTACTCAGGAAGGTTTGAATACTGGGAACCTAGTACTCATAGATTGGATAATAGGTGCAGTTTGCAAAACTCGAAAGTTAGGTGTTTATTAACCTACCAACTAAGGTTCAAAATTGTTTTAATAACAATACTTAATCCAAATATAGAATCACAAATACACAATAAGTACAAATGACATACCTATGTGAAAACTAGAACAAGGCTTTCATGTATTCAGCAATACTGTATGGATGAGTAGGAGGTTATTATACAACTTAACACTCAAAAAGAGATTTTTTTAGTTACTGTCAGCCTATCCTGAGGTAGAAAAACATTCATAGCTCTTGTACCATATGTGTGAACATTTTGTGTGTGAAAATTGCTTCTATTTTTCACTGTGAACATTCAAATATGTCATGCATATACTGTCATCAAGCCCATAGACATGAATATTCCTCTACATGTTTCATTACATTTCATGTGTCATTACTCTTATGGTCCTTTTGTGAATAAAAAATAATTTTTGCTGTTCTGAGCTGCCTCCAAACAGTATTATTGCAAACAATTTCTTCATTGATTCAAACTCCTGCTAACAATCATGTCTTAACCTAGTGGAGTTTTTGTTGCTAATAAGTGTTCTGGTATCATCAGTATAATAAAGTTATAGTTCTTTTAGAATATTGATTTATATGACATATAATAGAGCACCTAACACACTGCCCTGTAGTGTGCCTACCTCATTACAAATGAAATTTACCCAACACAGTGTATTAGCCATCATTCCATATCTGTTCAATTTGTCAAATAGAATATGATTTAAGCAGGCATATGCTTTAGAAAGGTCCAAGAATAACCCCATTGCTATACATATACTTCCCAAGAAGTTTAAAATGTTTTGTATAAATTGCTGACTGATTTATATTCATCTACAAGAACTGTTATTTGTATACAGACATCATATTCAAACAGTTTGGAGAAGCTATTTAGAATACTGAGGGACCTATAATTATCAATAATGACTGGATCATCCTATTTTAGCAATAGTTTTATTTCTGACACTTTCAATTGATCAGGGATAAAATTGATTAACAATGAGAATATATTAAATGGGAGGTCAGAAGGCAGTTAATATAGAGCCATATAGTGTAAAAGTCTATGTCAGGGAATGAATGCGGGCACTTTTTTCTTCATATTGTTTGTTTCTTACTATATTTTTTTGTAGCTGTTGCAAGAGATGTACTGTGATTTTAATTAGAAATATAGGTTTTTATTTTTTTCAATTCCAAATTTTCGAGAATTATTAATAATGCAACATTAAATTTCTTTCACTATTAGCTACACAATGTTTGTTGGTATTTCATCAGCATCAGAACTATACTTGTTTCTCAGTTTGTTTGATATGTTCACAAGATCATCAGGTTCAATTAGTTCAAGGCATAGCATTTCAGATCAGATTAGGTACTAAATCAGTGAATTGACAGTTCATAGTATTAGCATTATCTTAGTCCTTTATAATATTGTCATGTATGTTATATCATTTAAATTCAACTTTACTTTTTAAAAAATTTATTTGAGTAGAGTAGCTACTGTCTGTTACAAACGTTTACAATTACTTGACTTGACGGAGTCTAACCAGCTATTGAACACAAGTTTATATACTAAGTGACATATAAATCCGAACACCCAGTTTAAATGGTATTTTGTATAAGTACGTAATGAAGCAAAATAAGTAAATGATAAAAATTTCAAAATGATTGCACTGCTTTAAAGCCCTTTGACCTTTAATAATGTGTGGATGCACCCTGATGTGCTACGCATTCTCCAACGCGCCTAGGCATGCTTCTGATCAGGTGGTCAATGTCCTCCTGTGGTATCTCATTCCAGGCAACCACCAACTCCTCTCGAAGTGCTTCTAGAGTCTGAGGAGGACGTTGCAAATTGAGCAATCTCCTACCCATCATATCCCACACGTGCTCAATTGGGGATAACTCGGGGAGATCTTGGTGGCCATGGTAACAATGTGACATCATTATGTTGAAAGAAGTCTATTGTGACTCTTGCAACATGTGGTCAGGCATTATCTTGTTGAAAAGTTGGATCTGCCAGGGTGTCAAGATAGGGTAAAAGATGGGGTTCTAGAACTTCATGGATATAACGCTGCGCGTTCATGTTACCTCTGATGAAGATTAAAGGTGACCTGGAACCATAAGCTATAGCACCCCAAACCATAACTCCAACAGTGTGATGAACATGTCTTTCAACAAAAAACTGTGGATTCCTCCTTTCACCACGTCGCCTTCTAACCCTGGCACGACCATCGTGCATGCCTAAACAAAATCGAGACTCGTCACTAAAGACAATACTGTTCCATTCCTGATCCCAGAGTGACCGTTGTCTGCACCACTCAAGGCGATTACGTCGGTGTTCTCGAGTTAAAGGGAGGACCCAGTGTGGCCGGTATGAAAACAAGCCAAAACTTCTCATTCGTTGGTAAACACTTCGCATGCCAATAGGTCTTCCGTGTTCTGTAAACCATTCATTTGCAATGGACCTGGTAGTGGAGAAACGGTCCCTTAAGGCCAATAATCTTAGGCGGCGATCTTCACGGTCTGTTGTTCTACGGCGGTGTCCAGTGCCCCTTGCTCTTTGCGTACGGCCTTCTCGAAGCCATGCCTGACAACACCTAACCACAGTCCCACTATACGGCCCCTATCAAACTCACTAAGTTGACGAAATCGTACAGGTCTCTGTACTCTAGGCATCGTAACCGATCGTAAAGGATGTCAAGAACCAAAATCCGCCAACGTTGATTCTTTACTGCGGCTGAAATATTCATTTTTAGAGCGTTAGTGAATTAAAAAAAAGCAGTATAAAAACCGGAATGTCCAATTGGTAAGGCTGAAATTTTTTTAACTTGTTATTTACAGTAAGATAAATACATTCACCAACTTTTATTAAAATAAAACCATTTAAACTCGGTTTTCGGATTTATATGTCACTTAGTATATAAGTGACTGTTACGGTGCCTAGCCGGGTATTGAACAACATGAAATGGGCGCAAGGCCTATTTATACTATTGGTGTGCTTACAAAGGACTTCTAGAAAATAAAGCGTAAACAACGAGTTAGCGAGAAGTCGTTATCTGTTGCTGAGCTAGCGTCTGGTGCAACATTGTATGGAATAGTAAGTCCATTGTTTTGAGTGCATATAACATGTATAAAACCAGTAACTTCTCTAACCTGTATTGTACTCTTGTATCTTTCCATTTGTCCTCTAATGTTTTTTTTATGCTGCTGGTTTGTGTGCATTTCTTAGGGAAGCACATGTGGGGAATATTGATGAAGTTTGATATAAATAATTTCCACTGTTTATTTTGTGTTTTATTCTGGTCTAGTTGTGCTAGAAGTTCCTTGAGTTTAGAGAATAATTCACTATGGTCACCATTTGGAAGTCTCTATGTGGCACAATGTACAACTGACCTGTTTCCAATTTTACATCCAATTACAGCACACTCAAATACACAGTCACTGATAACTTAGTTAGATTTTTCCTTACTTGGGACACTATATTTTGTGTAGCACACATTGCTGCACCACCATGATGACCAGCTTCCCAGCAGAAGCTCGCCACAAAGTCCTGTATACAAATTTACCTTAGCTGTTCATCTGAATACCAGTGCTCAGTATTGCACAGTACACTACAGTTCACTTGTTGAATAGCATTTACATCCACACAGTTTCCCAAGGATTAAACATTTTGATGAAGCACAATGTAATATTCATTGCTGGTCTTTGTAGTTTTATGTGTAATCGTGTTTGATTTGGAGTAGACTTTATTCAGTCAAGAGTTTTTTGTTGTTTCAATGTCATCTGACTCAGTTGCTTCTCCTTCATCCCTTGTTCTAATATTATTGCTTAAGAATCGTTGGCCAATTATGAAGTTTTATAGTGAGCATCCAGTGTTTTTTTACTTCAATATTTCCTTCATTGGCGTGTAATTGTTTATTGAAATACATCTTTACTTTGTCCTCTTTGACTGTATGTTTCACTTGTTTTACAAAGATCCATGCCTTTTCGTTTTTCATCCTTTTCTCAAATCCAAAGTTGGCAATCGCTATACTGCTGCTCTTTCTCCTTCTGTTCGCAACCTCAGTGAAGTCATGAGCTTTTGGTAGAGTATCTTTAGTTTTCATAGGCTGTTCAGTGATCTTGATATGGCTAGGTTTTATTTATATCTGATTAAGTTCTACATGGTACTTTCTCTGCCCTTCAAACAGATTTGACTGTACAGGTTGTTTACCCTGTTGTTTCTTCTGAATAGGACTACTTTGTACTTGCAGATGTAAATTGTGCTGGATTATTTCAGCAACTGTTGATATTATATTTGCGTTTTTGAAGTCTTTATCCCCAAAATGTATTTATTTTTAAAAAAATTAACACACCAGAAAAAAACAATTCAGCTGCATAAGTAAAATGTTACTGGTTAGTTCATTTACAGCATTTTCAGAAATTCTTTTTATATTCAAGCCACTTGCTACTGCTAGATATGTTTCTCATTGTTTAACTCCGTAGCTATCATAGATCAGATCCTATTCAGCCTGTTGATTTCTAACTTTTGCAAAAATATGCCATAACCTTGGCTAACTTTTGAGGGTGCATTAATTTCTGAGAGAACATATCAGGGGGCTTAAAAAAAGGCAAATGAGATATGAGCTAAAACGGTTTACAATTCTCAAAAGTTACCAAATTTTCGTGTTGGAAAATTTGAAAATCTTCAAAATTTTGAAAACCTTTGATAAAACTATTACAGCCTAATGCGGAATGCAAATGTTGAAGTCTCCACTGAGCATTCACCAAGGAAGTGTTACTGTTTGTTTAAAACCAACAAGGAGCATCTATAAATAAATTCAACATCAAATTGTCATAGGCATAACTTAGACTGTTACTATTCTATATTTTTGGGGTCATATTATGGATAATTTTGTTCCAGGAATTCCAGCTGCTAATATGCATCCTTCGATTCACAAGTTTGCTCATAGAGCACTCATTCTCACGACACCTCTATAATTCGATGGAACATCTGTTGGTTCTGCTAGAAGCCAACGATATGACTGTCGTCCTAGAAGTTCTAAATTTACTGTACATGTTCTCCAAAAGAAGCAACTTTATTACTAGACTTAAACCTGATGAGAAAGAATGCCTTTTGTCAAGACTGCAGTATCTAGCGGAGGTAAGATATGCAATACTACTAGTTTTCTATATAAAATGGAGAACTGGAATATTCAGTTGGAAAAACATAAGAAATCTTATCTGGAAACATCTGTTGCTCAAAATAACTTGATTAAATTCTCAGTTGAATGAACATGGAATAGTGGATTTTTATATTTATTGCAAAGCTTCATTTAACTAGTGATGGGTTTGAACAGTGTAAATAATAATTATATATATAGATAGTATAGATTCTAGTGGTAATATGTTTTTGAACTTATACCCAAGTTCCAAATCTATTAATTGAATTGAAGCTGTTTTACACATGCAAAATCCATAATATATGGGTGCATATAGCTGTTATATTAAGCAATAAAATCACTTTGAGTTTTAACAGATATGCCTGAATAAGTATGGGGTAGGTTGAGGGGTGATTTTTCCCGTGGAAGGTTGATGAAAATAATAATAGTATTTTTTGTCCAACAAATTACATCCATTTAAAGAGCAATGCCTAGACTATTTTCCAAGCAGAGTGTACTAAAGTTGGAGTTAGAAAAAATTACAGAGAAAAATGTAAACTCAAGTCTTCAACACTACTTATAGATGAATCAAACTACCATAAAGATTCAATAGGAGTTGATATTCTGTGCCTCATTCTGGGTAAAAATATTTCGTGAACTTTTTCTGCACTCTACTGTAATTTTCCTTTATAGTAAGGATTCTAAATGTTGAAACAGTTGATACCATGTTTGAAAATAGACAGTTTTCATTAAAATGAAAAAATGGAGTCTTTGATTCTCATAAACAATTACCGCGTCCCTACTCAGCAACATAGCTGGGACACTAAACATTGTTAGTGAACTTCTGAATACAGCAGATGGTGGGCATCTTCATGGAGATTATATTTTTGAATGTACAGTAATGGACAAAAGGATATGGACAAATATGAATATTTACCTAAATACCTTTAGAAAACGAATTCAAACTTCATTGCTCCATAAACAAATGCGTTATTAGTAGAAAAACTAAATTCCTTTTTTTTACATTATCTGCAATGAACACAATACAAGTCTGAATATAAGCACTCTTTTATGAGGGACAAAAATATGTAGACAAATTCTTTTCAACATTAGTTTTGTACAGTTTCGTGTCAGAAGAGGATTAGTTTGTGTTCATCAAGTATTATGAAATAAGTTGAGTGATTTTAAGATTATTGAGTTATACAAAGATGGCCAACGTCAAGTCAACATTGCCAAAAATTTGAAGCTGAAGCGTAAAGCAGTTTGGGCAATATTGAACAAATATAAACCAAAAGGTATCTTGGAAGCCTCTAAGAGAAGTGGTCGGCCTAGAAAACTAAATGCTAGATCAGTTAGATTAATAAAAGTCATTTCGTCCAAAGATCCGTTTAAAACCTAAAGACAAATAAAAGCCGAAATCGAGACAAAAGGAATTGTCAGTGTTTCTACAAAAACTATAAGTAGAAGATTAAATGATTTGAAGTCATTTGCACGTCGCCCGAGTAAGAAGCCGCTAATCTCGAGGAAAAACCGTAAGGACCGATTACAATTTGCACTGTTGCATATTGATTGGAGCATCGGTGACTGGAAGAGGGTATGTTTCAGTGACGAATCCAAGTTCAATATGTTTGGATCAGATGGTGTTCGTTACGTTAGACGTCCTAGTGGACAAAGATTGAACCCCCAAGTACACCACTGTCAAACATGGAGGCGGGTCTGTTATGGTTTGGGGGTGCTTTTCGGGATTTGGGATGGGACCTTTACATAGAATAGATGGCATTATGGATAAGTTTGTATACACAGACATACTAAAGCATGTCATGTTACCCTATATGGAAGACAATATGTCCTTAAAATCAATCTTCCAGCAAGATAATGACACTTCAAATCTCGCAAAGAAATTATTTCTAATATAATCTAATAATGGTTATGCTACAAAATATTAACAAAAACATGGTTGGTTATCTATAATTCAATGAACTTTGCTTCTTTTTTCTTTGTTTTCCTTTGTCTATATATTTCGGTCCTTCATATTTCCAGTTTTTTTCAATTAATTTTTTATTGAAGGGAGGCTAATGAATTTATTTATGTATAAGCGAGTATTATGCGATAACAAATTATGTATACAGGTTGGTGTATTAATAAAACAAGTTGAAAAAGAAATACAGCACAACATTAATTTGTCTATATACTTTTGTCTATTACTGTATATGTGGAACTCTCTAATATACTTAGTGACATTAGAAGTGATACACCTACAAAAAAATTTTTTCTTCAACTTGATTTTTTGGCAATGAGGTAGTCTTACTTCAAGAACGAAACGATAACATTCTCACGAAATTTTATTGACAATAAGAACAAAATAACACTTCTAATGTTACTAAGTATATATACCCGGTATTTTCAAATGTATCAAATAGCTAAATGTTTGTGGCCCAAAATCACTTGTCGATTTCTCAACAGAGTTGGGGAGGAAAAGACAATGGCTTTGGTTTAGCCAGATGTTGCTTAGCAGACCAAGACATTCCTCCATCTGCAACCACATTACATGTCGAATTTCACAAAGAAGAAGACTCTAAAACGGTAAAAAAGGATGTGAAGCCAATCCAAGGAGCTTCTAAAGATGAGAAACAGGCTGACTCAAAAGTGGGCACTCCCAACTTATATATTATACATATTGAGCATATTGATAAGCTACACAAAACTGCTGCTGAGATTATGAAGTCTCTCACCAGCATGTATTACGTACCCGAAGATAAAGAAGTAAGCCATTTTGTATTTCTTATATATTTTTGAGTTTTAATATAAAGTCTTGATTTAGATAATGCAACGCTAAAGAATGTATGAGACATGTTACTCTCTTTTAGATATGGCTATTCACTCACGTAAGGCTAGCCACCCACTTCGCCGATTATCGGAACAGGCTAAAGAACGTCCAAGCACGTCTCCAAGCACTATCAGTGTTGGTGTATTCTAACGCAATACAAGATTCACCAGCAAATCTTTTATACAATGGCATCCTAGAAGAATTAGTTGAAGTAGTTGAATTGCAAGATCCGAATTTGACTGATATAAAATGCGCTGCATTAAGGACACTTACAGCTATAATACATCTAGATCGCAACCCGAATGTGTCAAAGTGAGTAACGTGTTTTTTTTTGTAATGTTGAATACATTTTCCTGTTTGACAAAACCATCATCACAAATAATTGCTTTTTATCTATTGAATTTTAAATTTTTCTTATAGTCGACGACCTGGAGCAAGACTGAACAGCATAATAGATGTAACTGGTGCTAGTCAATATCACGGATTTCTTCCCGTTTTGGTACGAAACTGTATTGCATCCCTAACAAATCAAGGTGATTGTGGCCAAAACGCCTTCAGGAAGATGAAGCTTCAAGACGAAGCCACTACTGAAAATGGTAAGACTGATTTGAAGTACTAGCAAATGAATAGTATTTATTTTTATTGTACTCCAGAGAAGTCAAGTGAATCTTTTCTCCTTAAAGACCCAGTTTATTTATTTAATTATCATATTAGAGACATCAAACAGAGAAAATCTCCAAAATAGACATCCAAAGTGTAGTTAAGCATACTAGGTTATGAGCACTGTTATTTACAATCTACATACAAAATAATCCAAATATCACTGACGATGTGTACGAGAGACAAGCGCAGCTGCGTTCGTGGCCTCGTCACTCGGGTTGCTGGGCAACGTGGTGCTTCAAGCTTTTTCTAACACACGTATACCACGCTTCTCTCTCGTACACACTACATCGTCAGTGATATGATAATACACTGGTATAATGTTCAATTCAGCAACGAGAAACCTAAAACAGAAAATGGGAATGTAGCTTACTAGGGAGCGATCAAAATTCTGTTTTTTATCAAGTATGTATTTAAACTTTGATTATTCATAAGCGAAGATAAAAATATCATCAAATTTACCATGGTTGTTCAGATTTATTTGCATTCGTACCAGTGGAAAGCTTAAAGCAATGTTAACTCTACAAAACGGAATATTGAAGTATGTACAGTGTCTAGGATCTAGAATACACTCTTATCGGTACATTTACAGTAATGGACAAAAGTATATAGACAAATATAAATATTTACCTAAATACCTTTAGAAAACGAATTCATACTTCATTGCACCATAAACAAATGCGTTATTAGTAGAAAAAATAAATTCCTTGTTTTTAAATTATCTGCAATGAACACACATACAAGAAACACATAATTAAAAATCCACATAATATGAATTTCTAAAAAAATTAATGCTATTCAAAATCAGATTTCCCAGTAAAGTGCAAACATCAGCAAGGAGTTTCCAAAGATTGTAGGCGATTACAAATAGTTCCAATAAAAGTGAATGTGACGATTGCAAATCATTCCATGAAATGGATATTTAATTTTTGAAAAAACATATCAAACAAGTAACTCTATCGCATCAAAATGGCTATGCATTTATTTGCGTTTCTCTGGTTCAATTCTAGCACCCAGTACTACCACAGAACCTGATACTCCGCCACCAAGCACGACTGCTAAAGACTTGATGGACGTCGAAACTGATGATCCTAAGGATGATTCTACCAGCCATGAAACCAAATTTCCAGTTTGCCTGACCACCTCACTGTTCTCCTTCCTATATCACCTCGCGAGTTACGAGGCAGGAGGAGAAGCACTTGTTTCTTGTGGAATGATGGAATCATTGCTCCAGGTTATCAACTGGCAAGGATATGAGCTGGACCATATTACGGTAAATTCATGCAGATATTAAGATTCATTTTGTTTTCCAGAGTTGTTTCAGGTGTTACTGCTTTCGTAAAAAATCATCTTATCTCAGTTTGCGTCTTCACTATTTTTATTCTGGTGATGTTGTAGATGAAGGCCTACTTCACCATTGAAAACCAGTAATACTCTTTTCGTTCGTCTGATGAACAGTTGGCGAACTGTGTACATCGCTGTTTCATGCTTAATGGCAAACTAATAAAGTCAAATTATAAGACCTTTGTGTATAGTCCAAAGATTGAATAGGTGATCAGAGGCGATTTTTGTTTCTTATATAAATTTATGTTCGTGTTCTTATATGTCTTCCATCAGGAATAATATAATTTTTTTGTTTCAGTTTGTGACGCGTGCTGTAAGAGTGATTGACCTTATCACAAACATTGACATGGCAGCCTTCCAAATGCATGGAGGGTTGCATAGCTTCATCAACAGATTGGATGTAAGTAATGATTTTTACCTCTTTCATTTTAGGCATTTGTGATGGTTAAAGACTTATAGAATGATATGTCAATATGAAAAAAGTCACCAGTTGGTCTTTTTGAACTCTATAACTTGCATATTAAGTTTTTCCATCAAATCAAATATCATGATATCTCACCGACTACTAAAAATTCTTGATTAATTCATAAAAAGTTGTCGCACACATGTCGATGGGCCAGGGGGAGTGCTAGTATAAACAAAGCCTGAAAATGGGGGAAATGTGATTTCTAAGGTCGAAGTCGGATTCGACAGCACGAATATTTCATTTTTTAATACTGTTTACTGGGGGAATTAAAAAAGGGCCTGGTCATCAATTTTTGAAGAGGACCCATTTGTTTGGTACATCATATGAATCAAGTGATAAATTGTTTCGTTAGTTTGATTTATTTGATACAGCAAAACAGAATCATGTTACTTTGAATCGTCATCTTGTTTTTCATTCAGGCAGGAAATGCTACTTCGCAATAAGGCATTGCAATCAGTAATGGCGATTTCATGAGTCAGTGCTGAAAAAAAAATTAGGCAACTTTCATTTGAATAGGATTTTCCAGCATCTCGGTAAAAAAAACTTCAACTTTACTAACACTACCAATATCCTTAATTGAAGACACTGAGATTGAAAAATGAATTAAACATTTACATGTATTGCTAATATGAAGTTCGGATTGATTGGAGGAACAATTAGAAATAATGTACCTATAATTTGAATATAACTAAGAAGACACTTTGTGCATTACCCTTACATAAAAAAATTATAAAATTACATATATCAAGTAAAATTGTGCAAAAACCGGTGTCGAAAATGATTATACCATTTTAACTTAGGGTGAGGAACTAACAACCATGCTACTGGGAACTGAAAATAAAACATAATGTATACTTTATGAAACGAAACATTCTTCTGCCTTGTGAGCTATAATTTTACATATGTAGAGCAGTGCCTCACCATTATTAATTTCACCAACACGCAAAAAAATCACTGCGAATGAAAATGAAGAAAATTCGAATGCCAAGTTGCTCCGTCAACACGAAAACTCACAATCGCACATCCGAATAGTTGTCGTATTGCATTTTTTGCTAGTAAATAATTTGACTCGTCACGTCATGGAAGATATATTACTAAGTATATATAAACACCTTTGGCTGTTGTTAATTTGTAAGTAGGTACTCAATACCATACCATAGTAAGCATTTTCGGAGATTAGCCTCCATTGAGGGACATGCAACATGGCAAATTTCCGAAGATCTCTGCAAAAATCCGAATGCAAATAGATAGATATTTTTTAATAGATGGTGTTGCTGTCCAAAGGAAATGCATTACTAATTATCGACTGTTCACTTTTGAGATTGCCCTATTTTGACACTACTTTGTATTAAAGTTCGTTCGTTTTTGTTGTAGACTGAGGTAAACCTATGTAAGAAGGAGCAGCTTTACCAAATAAAATCCTCGACAACCGAGCAAGCTGTTGATGATGGAACTACCAGCCCTTCTCAAGACAATACTGAAGAATCCAATACCGTTGATTTAGAATTGATACCCGAGAATGCAGACAAAACTTGCCTTCCGCAAAGAGCAGCACTTCTAAAATCCATGCTTAACTTCTTGAAAAAAGCTTTCCAAGACTCCATTTTCGCGGAGAGCATTAGACATCTGATGGAAGGCACATTGCCAAATTCTTTGAAGAATATAATTGCAAATGCTGAGTATTATGGTCCGTCACTGTTCTTGTTGGCCACAGACGTAGTCACTGTCTATGTTTATCAAGAACCAGCTTTATTATCGACACTACAAGATAATGGTCTCACAGATGTTGTGCTACATTCCTTATTGGTCAAAGAAATCCCAGCTACTAGAGAGGTTTTGGGATCCTTACCTAATGTCTTCAGCGCCTTGTGCTTGAACAACAGGGGACTAGAGTCTTTCGCGAAGTACAAGCCTTTTGAAATTCTATTCAACATACTATTGTCTCCAAACTACCTACCGGCAATGAGACGCAGACGAAGCTCTGAACCAACAGCTGATACAGCTTGTAACCTCGGTAGTGCTATGGACGAACTGATGAGGCATCAACCAAGCTTGAGGCAAGATGCCACTTTAGCTATCATAAAGCTGCTTGAGGAGTTAGTGGTGCTAGGTACTGACCCACAGTATGTATGTTGGAGACCACATAGCAAGTCAGAGGTGTCTCCTTCTAATAATACAAGATCGCCAGCAAATACAGAGGGATCTTCAGATGAAGAGGAAGATGACGAGGAAGAGACGTCTACTTCTTCCCAGAATGCCCAATCTGAACCGCAGGCGCAGGCTTCATCGTCAAGCAATAGCACGAGAACACCAGTTGCTTTGATTGAATACATCCTGAACGCGATGAAGTTTATAGACGCCATCTTGAGTAACAATTCGACGGACGACCACTGCAGAGAATTTGTCGAAAAAGGCGGGTTGAGTCCACTATTGAAAATCCTTGGATTACCGAATCTGCCAGTAGACTGTCCAGTCACCAATCCGGCTCAAGCTGTGGCCACAGTCTGCAAAAGCATCCTGAATCTTGCCCATGAGCCGTTCTTGTTCAGCCAAGGTCTGACACAACTGGGAGAAGTTCTGGAAACCCTCAAGCCACTATATACCAAACAAGAGACACCAGGAGGTTCCAAGTTGCTTCTCGAACTCGCCAGCGCATCCGACATTGAAAGTGCGTTCAGTAACGCAGCCGCAACACCACTGCTTCATGCGATGAATGCTGCTCATGGATATGTAATTATGTTTGTCCATATCTGCAGAACTGGACAGACCGAAATCAGGAACCTCTCTCTTCAACACTGGGGATCCGATTCAGGCATGCAGGTGCTCAAGGGACTTGCAGACCTGTATACGTCTTTGGTATGGGAAAGTACTTTGCTCCTGGCATATTGCAGTGACGACCTGCTACCTACTGACTGTGATTTTACCCGAGAGGATATAGAGAAGCTTAATGCCTTTTTTGATCGGGTTAGTTTAGTCTTATATTTATATTATTGTATCGCGAAAGATGTTGATAATGAGATGTTTTTGGATGTTACATGTTTAGTGACTCATTCTCGTCGGGAAGACTGTCTGTTTGACACAAAAGTAAGGTTCTAGATGCTAGGATATTTTTATCTAAATACTGCTTCAGTTTGGGCGCTGAAGGAGAGATCTGCGTCGAACTAGCTACCAAGGAGTTTCACCCTAACCACTAACTGTAATCCAAGCTCTAAAATTAATTTCGTATCAGTAGTTGGATATATGGCTTTATTATGTCTCTATATATTGAAATTGCAGTTATGGCAGTATTGAATTGGGGCTTTAATGTATTCAAATGCGATATCGACAGACAGGATGACGGAAATGTGTGTGAAATACTCTCTTGTGGTAATAGCATCTCATTTCCGAAATCTTTCGCAATAACAATACCTATGAAGCAGAAGCTAAAATTTGCCAATGTTGGTATCAACACTCAAACATTTTGTTGTAGTGCGAACAATCGACTGCCGGAGTTGACTGTGCAGGTACCGTAGCTTCTGCAATGGAGGCCCTATCCACAAATCCTACGCCTTTGACCATGGACGTTGACGGCGAAGGAGCGGCAACCATCAACACCAACCGCAATTTGAAGTACATCAAACCATTATTAGGTGCTTCATCTAGATTAGGTAGAGCCCTAGCAGAACTGTTTGGTTTGCTGGTCAAACTGTGCGTTGGATCACCCATTCGCCAAAGAAGAGGTGAGTGTGCTCTGGATTTTCGAAAATTTTGTAATTTTGAAGCAATTCTTGGAATTTAGCAATCGCGCGTGGGAAGTGCAGATACATCATACTTAACACCATTTTTTTTTTCAGGCCAAAACATGGTTGCAGCACCTCCGATCCCATCCAACTATGCCAGAAACGTAGCCACAGCGTTGAACGAACTTCTAGCCGAAGGCTTGGATTGCGATCGCCTTCCACCATGCCCAACAGCCAAATGTAGACTTACCTTCCTGATCTGTAGCGTCGGATTCACAAGTCCGATGCTCTTTGATGAACGCAGATACCCCTACCATCTTATGCTGAAGAAGTTCGTCAGTCTAGGTGGTCTCTCCATATTCTTCAAAACGTTCAAATGGGCAATCAACGCCGGAAAGAAGGAGGGAGATCCTAAGGCAATCGACCACAGTTCGCTACCTGAGGGTAAGTCAGTCATTTATTTTTCATAATTTTTATATATAATCAGCCGTACACTGGAGACAGTTGGGAAATAAATAAGATTATCCACTGAAATCTTCAAAGATTTGTGAGCAGGATCTTCTAGCTCCATGCATTAAAAAACTAGTGATAGCTGGTTGCACAAACGGCGGCGAAATGTTGATAATAATGTTAATAACGATGTTATTTATTGTCGCAAAAGAGTTTGCACTTGTGCTTTGGTTTGTTGAAACTAAAAGTACAATAAATGACCGAACACTGTAAACACTATATAAACTGAGAGTTGAATGAATACAGGTTAAACATCCAGACAATTAAACTAAATTCAAAGTATTTGTACAAAAGTTGGCGATGAGTCTAATAGATGGTCCTCCATATAGAGAGATTCACTTACGATGATCAACCTCCTTGTGGAGGATTAACATTAGAATTTTTGGATAACTTCAGGCATATCATTTTTCGTATTTCGTCATATATGTGTGATGTCTTGTTTCATAGTATTGAATTACTCATTTCAAAAACCTCATAAGTGGCTCGATTTGATTCTTCAGGAATCCATAAAAACAGGTGTAAAGGACTGTCGGGCTTAATATACGCGGTATTTTAGTTTTAGTCGAATAACCTTCAGTTTATCTATAATAATAATAAAACAACCTGCAAAACTATTCTTGTGTTGTTTTAGCAAGAAATAAGGATAGCGGTATATGATTAAGGCAAAACGATAAATATATTAACAACTACGAGGGTGAATCAAATATGAACCGAACTTTTGTTGAAGTTGTTGGTATAGTAAATTCACGTTTATTCACATCTTATTTTTTCTACATAATCTGATCTCTTATTCACGCATTTTCCCATCGGATCGGAAGTTTTTCAATTCGCCCAACAAAGAATGAAGCTGGTCGTGTCAGTAGTCAATAATTGTGAACGAACGTTTCCACGTCTTCGTCGTCATCAAAGTGGTGACCTCCCAGGTCCTTTTTAAGTGGCCCAAACATGTGATAGTCACATGGCGACAAATCGGGACTGTAAGGCGGGTGTTCAAGTGTTTCCCAATGAAATTCGCGTAATTTTTCTTGCGTCAATGCAACTGAGTATGACCGAGCGTTGTCATTGAGCAGAATGATTGATTCACCCTCGTAAAAAGCCATAATAAAACCTACATTCAAATCTGGAGATAAACAGAAATCTTTTAATTATCTCCCAATTTCCGTATTGACAAACTTTTCAAAAGTATCCGAAAACGTTCTAAAAGACGATTTTCAGGTTTTATTGCAAAATACGATATCATCTCAGATCAGCAATATGGATTTCAGGAAGCAAACTCAACTCAGGACTCACTTATTCAGTTAACCAAAATTCACAAGTACATTGATAGTAATAAGCCAAAGCATTCAATAGCATTATGCATGGAAAATTATTAAAAACCTTGGAAAATTTAGGATTCCGTTGAGCCACTTACCGCTTCATGGAAAGTTATTTGGATGTTAGAAAACATTGTGTGAAGATTAACAGTACACTCAGTTAAAATATGATAGTCAGATGTGGAGTTTTCACAAAGAACCATATTGGGACCAATCCTGTTTATGTAGCATATTAACGGCAAATCTTCTTGCGACAACAGATCTTCCTCAAATTTTAATCAACTCCAAATTAAAACGTTGAATAACTACAAAACATACAATCAGTTGATAATTTCAAATATTCAGGAGTATTCATATAATAACCTTCGAAGATGGAATATACACATTTAATTAAAAAGTTGAGATACATCATTCCAAAAATCATACATTTCAGCTTTTTTTTTTTATGGATATTGCGAGTCAACTACAGGATAAATTTCAGATGTTAAATTTACTGACTAGATGTCTGTTACACGGTTTTATTTTAGGAGACGGGAATGCATTGACTTGCGTGGATTAGGGCCGTATCGTCAGTCGTTCCTAAAATTGAAGGACGCCTTGATGGCCACATTGATTTTCATATACTTTTCTCTCCTTCAGAAAGGATGTGGCATTTCTAGATTTCTACTGTTCCGTCAGCGCTCTCCTATTGTGAGGCTGTTTTCTTTTTGAACTATAGGAAATTTCAGGCTGATATAACAGATGATATAAATCAAAAGCAAGAACAATTTGATGCAAATAGCTTTTTGCAACGTAACCTCAAAATAGAGTGCTGAGCCGGAACATTCGAGAACTATGAAAATCAAGGAAGCTATATAGGCGTCCTACAATTTTAGGAACGACTGACGATACGGCATTTACACCTTTAATACGCATCTATATCCAAAAGAAAGTATGTTGATGAAAATATGACTTGAGTAATTTTTAAAATGATCAATTCAATTCATTTCTAGAGTCAAGAATTTCGTACGTTTTCATAAATCTAAATTAATACCTATTGATTTCATTTATATCTACCTTCGTAACTCTACTTCCAGTGTGGTTTTGCGATTCAAATTTCTTTGGATTCTTGGGATAAATTAACAGGTGTTAAAAAGTATATTTAATCAAATTGACAATGTTTTGGTCTTTATTGACTACTTCCTCAGACCTACAAAAAATATGAGAAAAAAATGTACAATTCATAATTGTAAATATAGCAGTGAAGTGAAAACAAGTCATTTAAAAAATCACTAAGAAAATAGACAAAAATATAAAAACTATAAAATAAACAAAAACGATGACGATAAACGTGCGTGCATATTAAAAGTTATTATATGATTATTCAGACTCCAATAAGTTAAGAATGTTTTCTCCAAAGTGGGACGTCACAATGAAACAAATTAAAAACCAGTTTTAAAAACAACAATGAACATGCAATCACGTGGCAAAGGAAACAAACATCCCCTACGTCAACTATGAAAATAAAGAATATGAAAAACAAAACGGAAGAAATCCAGACTGTTTGCCTGTTTACGAGGAGCAATAATGAGTTCTGAGAACACAGAACACTGCTTAGGGCTTAAATCTGTTAAATCTCTTAGTCAAAAGAAACAAATCTGACTAAGGTCGTCACTGTCTGTCTTTTTTTTTTGTTCACAGCATTGTTATGTAAAATTATGAAAATCATTTCACTTATTAAGCGTTTTTTGTATATTTCAATCTTTCTGTGTGTTTTTGAATATCTCAGGTGTTTATTACAAATCACCCAACTTGAGTTATTACTATTTAATTACAGGTACGTTAGGCTTTTTGGATGCCTGGCTGACACTCCTAGAGAAGATGGTAAATCCAAAGGCAATCTTGGAATCTCCACACATGATCTCGAGTCGCCCTATCGCTTACAATTTTGACCCATTGAATTACTTGCGCCACATTCACAGTGCAGCATTTGAATGTGTAATGCTTTTATGGGGAATATCGCCATTGCCGAACTATGGAGCTAGAACAACAGATACTTTACTCACTATTCTAAGGCACATCTTCCGAGGGGAGAAGATAATCAAGGATAAAATGAAGACCGACGAGAAGTCAGACACAGCTAGTAGCTCTGCTGCCGCTGGTACATCAGCCGCTGCAGGTTCCAGCGGAAACAGTGGCAGTAACTCCAACTTCAGAGATTTGGAAGACAGATTGTTGGACCTGAGACAATTGATGGATATGGGCTTCTCAAGAGAGCATGCCATTGAGGCTTTGTTACACTCTCATAATTTGGAACAAGCTACTGACTATATCCTATCTAATCCTGCGCCAATGGCGAGAGTTTCAATGGACGTTGAAGAGGATGACCAAGTTTTGCAGGCTATTGCAATTTCGCTTGGTTGCACTAACACTGAAAATAAAGACAACTTGGACGAGACAGAATCATATGAATCCCTGATAGATGAGTTCACAAACCACGCTTTGGATGTGTGTCTAAAGCTACTCGAAGTCATTCCTGAGACAGTCCATAAAGTATGCGAATTGCTGGTAACGATAATGAAGAGAAATGGAAGAGTATACAGAGATAGCCTGCTAGATACTCTGATCTCCAAGATACAGGAATGTATAGCCGATATTTCATTTTGCACTCTGGAACAAGAAGCTAACGTTATGAGTTATTATACAATGGTAGATTCTGACCCTGCCAAATGTATGTCCGACTATGTCCATTTGTATATACTATTCTTCGAAGTTTCATCCTACTTTGACATGAAAATACCATGTGGCTACGCTATACACCGAGCTGGGTTACTAGAACCTTTGATAGAATTATTATGCTGTGCTGTAAAGTATATGCTGTTCTTCAAAGCCGATCATGAGCCAAAGTGGGTGGCACCATCGTTTCTGTTACTGGACGCAGTCTCAAAAGTGGCGACTTGCACCAGCAGAAAACTTAACATGCACATGAGCACTACAAGAACTTGGAGGTGGTACGATTTGGTTACAGGAAAATGGACCCATTATTCAACCAGCAACAACAAACTGATAAATGAAGCTTACTGGAATGGAGAGCAAAGCATCAGAGTTACTTGCGGACGGAAGCGTTACACAGTAACCTTTGCAAACATGTTGCAAATGAATGACGAAACAGGGAATAACAGACCAATTACTATGACGTTGATGTCATTCAATCACCCTGCGTGTATTGACATAAACGCTCCAGATTATGAACCTTTGTACGCAGACTTGACAGAAAAGGAGGGCAAGAGATGCACCCCAGTGCCTGGATTGTCTTTAACTCAGAAGCAGGAAATAGTCAAGACGTGCGTCAAGCTTATGCACATGCCAATTGACAAGGATCTGCTACACTCAGCTTTGCAGATTTGTGTGAGATTCACAAGAGATTTCTCCGTTGCTAAAGTATTTGTTGAAAGTGGAGGCATCAAATGCTTATTAAATATGAAGCAAATAAACGACTTTGGTGGCTTTGCTATTCTAGCTACGATTCTAATCCGTCATGCATTAGAAGAGCCGTCCACGCTCAAATACGCGATGGAGAAGATAATACGAGGCAGGACCCTCTCGACAATTCCCCCACCGTACAAAGACTTGATATACTTGGCCAGAAACGTCGGAGGTGCTATAACTAGAGATCCAGAAACGTTCTATGAAGTCGCCTCCAACATAATGCGCGTTGATATAAACGTGATGAAAGAAGAACCTGTTGAAGCGTCTCTACCTATCAGAGTCGAACCACCTGTGCGTAGCAAGCCACCGCCCATGGAAAGCACAGTGTCGATCGGAGTTGTCTGGGATCTACTGGATGCCTTGTTGCGACCATTGGAGGAACCCGTAGAGGACAAGCATGCTGAAGCCAAGTTTGGTGGACAAAAATTGAGAGTTGTGGTCCACGAAGGTCTTCCCAGCGGTTCCAGCACTACCAGTGGTACGAGCGCAAGTAATATGACGCAGCCTAGCAGCACAAGCGGTATTTCAACAAGCGACATCAGTTGCTTCGAAAGTGGTACGTGAAATTCAATATCCTTACCTTTTTTGTATTTACACGATTATTCCGAAAATACACGGTGGGCTATTAAGTTGAGCGGATTTTAAAAAAACATAGAAAAAAACTACAAACCATAGGGAAAATAATTTATTTTTTTAATAAAGTAGACACATGGGGTTTTGTTTAAACCTAAACAAAACCCAATCCAGTCCTGCACCTCGATCAGTTCAAACTTAAACACGTGCGATTGGTAAACAAAATCGGTACACATCTGTTCTAAAAAAGAAAACAAAAATGGCACACTCGTACAGCAATATCGTAGTTGTTCATATCATTTTTATTTACGGTGTCTTCGAAATGCTACCCAGGCTTCGCGAGTGCATGCAGATCGTCCTTCAAAATCCTTGTTTTTTTTTTGTGGTATGAAATAGTTAGTGTATAAAACTGAGGTAAACACGGTCGACGAACTATGTGTGCGAATTTAGCATTCATTAGTTTTTGAGAAACACAGTATTGTTGCAGAATAGTTTTATCAACTATGATGCTTATTCCATATACTGAATTTTGCCATTTTGAAAATATAGGATATACATTTTTGGATCACTTGATTGAGTTTCAGATTTTTCTAGAACATTTGTAAACCTGCTGCACCATATTTTTTAGGATTGTTTTTTGTGTCCATTTGTGTGCATTTGAGAAATTGACCACTTATTTCTGGGACACCTTATATCTGTGGTGTTTGAATTCAGTTTTTAGTACAGCATGTTTTCTACTCAGCCTTTGACTATTCTGAAACGTCTATTTAAGACGGTATTTATTTATTTTTTTATATATTACGTGAAGGTTATAAAATAGTTGAAACATTCTATTAAAAATTAAGTTCTTCCTACTTCGAAAATACGCTTGACATTGAAAATTGTAAATCATATATTTGGGAGTGGGATTAACTTACCATATTATTTGAATAATATTGATGTTCTACCCAAGTCAGTCTGCTTTGGGAGGTTCTAACCTAAGTACAATAAAATATAGAACAATCAGCTAAGAATTACATTTTGTGAATTCTTTAAATAAAATATTCCATATTTCATCACATTGGAATTAATCCTTTCAAGAGAAGACCATTGATGTAACAACTATGATGTTTAGTTGCTGAGTTGATAGCAACTAAATGTACAAAAACGCTTAACTTTAACAGCCTACCGGTCCGGTATTTTGAAAGAGTCAATTTATATTGTATGGCTATACAATAATCATAAGTAGCTTCAAAATGAATGGTCACATGACCTCCCGTTTTATTAGAGAAAACATACCTAGATGGCACCCAGTCGCTATCTTAAAATTTTCAACTGCCACTTTTATTCTTGAATATTGTACTCATGCATCAATTTCAGAAGTCCATTTTTAGAAAAGCACTGTATTACAAAATTATTGACGCAATATCCCCTATCTGCATCAATTACGAGATTCACAACAACTAATCAATCTCTATTCTCACAGCTACAACTACAAGTAGCCAAGCATCCCAGAACTCAGCATCTCAAAGCTCAAGCAGTAATAATGAGAATGCCAAAACGTCAGGGGAACCCAAAAAGACTGAGGCCAGCAAGAAACCCATGTTGCCTAAATCCGTAATACTGAAGATCTTGGCAGACGCCGTGGTATCTTTTGGACCCATTGCTAAACTGATTACGGAATATAAATACAGAGCAGGATATTCTGAGTTCATAACAGATGATACATCAGCTTTGGCGTTCATTTTCGACAAGATTTTACCCGGAGCAGACAACATATCCGACTCTGATTGTTCGACAATGTGCAGGATGTTGATAGCTGCATTGGCTTCTTCTAACCATTCTCCAGACGCACAAATCACTTTAGTGTCCGAGGTGAAAGTAGCCCTCACTAGAGCATTATACTTACCAGAATCAGCTGAGAAACATACTCAAATCCAGCATATATGTGGGATCATTTCCACAATGATCGACAATTGCCCACTACCACATGCTAGCAGATGGACCAGCGGAAGTATAAATAATATAGTGAAGCTGATGATTCGCAGAGGTGTCTTCAGTGATCTAGCGAAGATCACACATTACCTGGACCTGTCATCACCAAACACGTCTTTTACCGCCAATGCAGCATTGAAGCCTCTTGAGTCACTTTCAAGGGCTATCAATCAACCTGCACCAACCTCCACTCAGAATAAGACAAAGAGGAATCAGCACAGCAATGAGGACAATAATGCTGTGCCAAGTGGTACCTCAACTGAAGGTAAGTTCTATTTTCCATCCAGCTTATTGGTATTGGTATACCCCATCAATCCCTACTTGAAAAACATCTAATGAGCAGTCTTGAAGCAAGACGCACTTGCTAGTCTGATTTTGCTGTTAAAGTTAATAATATTACGTTTTATATACCCGCGGCACACACAAATTATCTGCATTCTCCGTTGTACTTGATGTGTAAAAATTACAATATCATAACCAGTTTGACATATTTAACAGCAGCATTTTAGACATGAAACGTGCCAATATGTATCTTTTCATTTTTTTCATGTATCTATTATTATTTTACATTTATATGTAGATTATGTTTTGCTTCATCGTGTAATTGGTGTTTTACTGTTCGGGTTGTAATGAACAAAATAATCAATAAATATTTTTAGAACTTGGAAAGGAACTCTGAACTTAAACTTCATATTGGAAAATCTTGAAATAATTTTTCACGGATCTTCAGAGTGATGTATCAAAAACGCCAAATCTTGAATGTCAAATATCTTAGGCGCATCTTAGCATTATTTTGTAAAATCTTGGTTGAATCAAGTTGACTAATTTTGAGTTTTGCGTCACATGAGCTTTTTATCCTTGAATCATTACGAAGTCCTAAATATCAGTGGTACTGCAGGGCCGCCACGGAGGCCAGAGCCAGAAATCCGCCGGGTGGTACCTCCACGTTCCACGACCTGAGACCGCCTACGCTTAGCTATTGGAGTGATTATTAAATTTTAACTGAAAAAGGCACCAAGTAGGTTGACTCTGCGCTTCCTACGCAACTCCTTCATTAGTTCGTAAAGGATTAAGCTCAGGGCAATTTAATTATCCGAGGAAAAAGTCAGTTATGAACATTTACAACAGAGAAATTAAACGGCTCAAGTCGGGCTGTAAGCTGATTTAGCAGGAGTACGCCGATCGAAAACATGTCTGTCATTCCAATATTTGAAGGCAAGTTTACTGAGAAATCTATGATGTGTGAAATGTGGCTAATAGGTACATAGAGTTACCGAGGCGTATAATAATAATAATAATAAATGGACTGTATTTCGTACAAAAAGGCGAAGTGTTGCTAAGAGTAGCGTTTTTCAACTCAACCTTTGAAAAAAAATATATAATAAAATAAATATACCTCCAAAAAAGTTTAACCCTAAAACAATTTTTCTGAAAATGATCAGAAACCTCTGATACGTCGAAAAACGAATTTTAAGCGGTTTTTATTTTTCTGATGTTTCTACCCCAGGCTCCGCCGCTATCGGGCCGATCTTCCTCGCCCAGTGGCGTAGGAAGTAAAAATCAAAAGATATATTTTGCTCATTAATACCATTCTTTGGCTTTTTGCACATGGTGATATTTTTCAATATTCAGGTTAAAACATTTTTATTTTGATAAAATACAGAATAGTTGAAAAATAAGCCCACTCTGGCTGTTTCACCGCCCGACTAGTTTTATATTACTTCTAGGTAACATTATCATGCATTATCGTGCAGAATATCATAAAAATCGGTTCAATAGTGCCTAAGATATAAATTTAGAAATTTATTCAGTTATAGAAAGAGCCTCAATTGATACGACCTACAATTTTCATGTTTTATTTCCTTACCAATTAATTGCCCTGTATAATAGTATGCACCGCGTTTGTAACAATTATGATACCCATTTGGTAACCATCAAAATAACTAATTTCATGTATCAATGTTATGCTACAGTTAGTTAAAAGAGCCACAGAGTGGGCAGAGACCTTTAATAGGAAAACAGAACGCGATATACATAATTTTGAATAACTTTATTTTTTTATTTCAGCTACAAATGCTCAGGGCGAGGAGATCGAAGACGCAGAAAATACCGAGCATGATATTTCTGCAGTAGCATCAAGCCTTGAAAACAATGCAGTAGGATCAGGAGAGCTCGATAATGCTCTAGAAGAGATGATGGAGCATATTTTGGAACACAGGAATAATGATAACAGTCAAGGTTACAATGATGTGCCTTCGTCAAGAAACAATACAATGGATATAGATGAAGAGTGCACCATTGGTGGCTACGATCATGAAAGAGATGCTACAGTGAGTACTTTTGATAGAGCTTAGCCCTTTTTTGGCCAGAAAAAAATTTGATAGCCATCGTCAGGCAGAAAAGCTCGATAGCACTGTCCTGACGCTCTTTGCTCCCTGAAGGCAACATACTCACTCAAACCCCTTGTCAGTTGCTACACTCCCACCATAACAGTACTTACACTATCTCTCATCATGATGGGTGATGTGATAAATGTTTTTACCAAAGGTATTAGTGGTCCTGTTCTCATCTTCATACATATACATTTACACTTGTAGAAACTGATGACTGTTTTTATTATAATATAAATTACATATTCTGACTTATAAACAGTATTGCTTGGGAAGTACAGGGTCAATCTACTCGACGCCATTTTGTATACTGTTGGTATTTCAGAGTAATTAAGTCTGATCAAATTATTCTTATTTGCAGGAAGAGCTAATGAGCACCGATTCAGGCGAATCAGATTCAAATCCTTCCGATCAAGTTGATGATGAAGGCAATGACGATAATGAAGGGGACGACGATAATATGGATGATACAGAAGAGAACGAGGATACAAACTACGATGATGAGAATAACGAACGGGAACGCCTTAGGGGTAGCTCTGGTATGTTCCGTATCGCAACAAACGACAGAGATGAAGACATACTCATGATTCAGTACGATGCTGATGGAGAAAGTGCCCTTCCAAGGATGATACGCTGGAATGACAATGGTTTTGCTGTCCCCCTTGTTGATGATTCTCCTAACGATCATACAGGTAAATAAAAGTTGGTATTACTCTAAGAACCACTCTCTGAAACATTTGAGTCACAAGAAGTATATTTCAAATTACTTGACCTAGCAAGATTAATGAACCCACGGAAGATCAGCGAAGTATTCGGAAAAGATGATTTATCGTCGATTCAAGATCGGTCGGGACGCTTTCACAGATACATTAAATCATCCATATAAAATATCAGACTTGTATAATCAGATTGAGACTTGTTTGTGGACATTTGTCACATTTGAAATATCATAGACCAAAATATCTACAATTTCAGAAAAAAATTGTATAGACAGATTTCACAAGTACACTTTAGAGGGTAAATGAAAAGGTCTTTCATCTGGGAATACAAAAAAATGCTGGATAACTTTTTCATTAAGTTCTAGGGTATGCAAGCAGCAGTTCATATATTATTCCAAAAAATCGCCAGTTGGCCAAATTATTTTTCGTCAAAAAGTCTTCAACAGAAAACGTGAAATAATGAAAATATCGTCTGTAGTGATTAACATCCATAAAAAAATTCAACAAAAACGGTAAATATTTTCTGATGATTATAATTGCTACTTAATTTTTTGAGTTTAAGGTGATTTTTACGAGCTATCCATACCCCATTCATTTACGCCCAGACAAAACAAAACTTGTCCAAAAGCGAGATTGTACAGGTCCGTATTTTCCCCAATGGTCTTGAAATAATTTAACAAAATAAATGATTATTTTTATAGAAAGAAGTGCACTTTTTTCGCTGGAAGTACTTGAATCGTCGTCCGAATGGTTAATATTAATTATTATAGGTTCAATTTGAATATCGATCATATTTTCCAGATCCCACATCTTTGATTCGATTGTCACTTGTCTTTCCAATGGTTTGCCGTCACTATTGACAGCTTCATAAAACAAATTTTTCACGTCAGAAAATTTGAATGTTTTTTTTATACCGAAGCAGCCGCGCAGGCTTCTGCCTAAATGCCGGAACACCGCACACAAAGCCATATTCACTGTCAATGTGACAGATAACAAATCGTCTTTCTTTTCCTGGAAATAATTGTTTCATATAGTATTCAAGAAAACTAATAATAATACAAGCAAAGTATCTAACTGGTGTTGGTTCCAAATCTACCAGATATAGCTAAGTTGAAAGCGTGGGCTCATAGATTCAGAGTATTTGACACCATTTTTACAACACAAATGACGAATTGGTTAGTTACACGTACCTGACAGATTCTTTAAGCCAGTTGTTAGTCCATCTAAAAAGGCTTGTCGTGCTGATTTAATTGTAGAGTCAGCCCATACTTCAAGTTTTGTATCTCCTGTATTTATATAGGTTTCATCCAAGTAATAAATCTTCCTGTTCTGGTCGCGGTATTTCTTTATTGATTTTAAACAATTTCTTCTCCATAACATAATCTCGGCTGTCCATCAAAATACTATTTCTGTCCCGTTTTCTATACTCAAAATGAAGTTGTTTGAGTAAACTACAGAATGTGGTCCTTTTGAAAGTAGGTAAGTCTTCAGTATTAACCTCCTGTAATACTTTATCTATGGTGGGAAGTTCCTGCCTTTCAAAAAATTGTTGGACTGTGCGTCTTATGGCATTCCGATCAAAGTTATGAACTGTATCCAACAGCTTCGTGTAATGCAGCTTCTTGTGTGGTGGAGACATTTTTTGTTTTTTTTTTATATTTTTTCACAATGTTGAAAATTGTCTTAGTACATAAGCCGCCCGACTTTCAATATCGTGAATGTTCATTTCAGGATGCTTTAAAATTTCGGTCTTATAAACGTTAAGGACAATTTATTTTGCCTCAATATTCAAATGTCCCTTCTTGTCACGTTTTTGGGGAGGAGACATCACTGAAGAGGAAGCATGGTTGATGATCCCTCTGGGGGGAATACTACTTCTGAGGAAGGTACTCTGAGGCTTCTGATGGATACGCACTTCCCCGGTTCCACAGTAGCGGTATGGGCGATAGATTCGTTTGCTTCATACAAAAGTCCAGGTCTGGACGGCGTATTTCCGGCCATGTTACAGCAGGGACGGAGTTCGGTTGTTCCTCACCTGTTGAAGGTGTTTCGAGCATGTGTGGCCACGGGCTTCACACCTAGAAGCTGGCGGCAGGCTAAAGTGGTATTCATTCCTAAACCGGGCAGAGCTAGATATACCGGCCCGAAGGATTTTCATCCAATTACTCTTTCATCTGTTGTGCTTAAGACATTGGAAAGGATAGTTAATAGATACTTAAGGGATGGCCCGCTGGAAAGGTGTGTCATTCACGCAAATCAGTTTCCATACCAAGCTGGGAAATCGACTGATCTGGCCTTACACAATCTGGTCGGTAGCCTGGAGAAGACTCTAGATCAGCGAGAAGTGGCACTCGTGGCCTTTTTGGACGCTGAAGGTGCATTTAATCGCACCACATCCGACTCTATCAGACATGCCTTGGTTAGGCACGGGGTTAGATCAATCCTAATAGATTGGGTCCTAACTACTCTGGAGCGTCGGGTAGCAACAGCTATGCTGAATGACGTGAGCTGCAGCGTCAGCGTAGCTAGAGGCTGCCCTCAGGGCGGAGGTCTGTCACCCCTACTGTGGTGCATCGTGGTGAACGAACTCCTCGTTAGGCTCATCAGTATGGGTGTCTACGTGCAAGCCTATGCTGATGACTTAAGCATAGTAGTTTGGGGACGTTTTTGTAGTACAGTCTCTGAAATTATGCAGGGCGCTCTGTGGAATCGTGGTGCAGGGAAGTCGATCTTTCTGTTAATGCTGGAAAGACCGAGCTGATCCTATTCACTAGGAGAAGAAGGCTTGACGGGCTGGTCACGCTGACCTTCTTTGGGACTAGATTAATTCTATCCCGATCAGTGAAATATCTGGGAATTATCCTGGATTGCAAACTGAACTGGAGAGAGCATGTTGAATGAAAGGTTAGCAAGGCTCGCAATTCAATGTGGGCCTGTAGACGGGTTGTCGGTGTAAGGTGGGGGCTTAAACCCAAAGTGGTATACTGGCTCTACACGACGACAGTACGTCCATTTCTCTTGTACGGCTCCTTGGTCTGGTGGCCTTGCATTAGAACTGAGACAAGTAAGGCCAAACTCAATAAAATTCAGCGTTTGGCCTGTATTAGCATTAAAAGCGCAGTGCGAACAACGCCATTGAGTGCAATGGAAGCTCTGTTGGATCTCCCACCGTTGGATCTGGTGATCCGCGGTGAAGCGAGAGTAGTCGCTCATCGACTGGGGAGTCAGGGCAGCTGGACCTTCTTGAATCCTGTCAAGGGACATACTGCCATCTTAGTCGAATTGCAAAGGAAGGACCCCTTCTAAGCAGGGGTGAATCTCTGCCTCTTGATAGATACCCCCAATTTTCCAGGCGGAAATATTTGCGATTCTGGCTTGTGTATCTCGCATTCTGGAGGAGGGTGGGCCTAGGAGAAGAATAACAATCTTATCTGACAGCCAGGCTGCAATGAAAACACTAAGTGCCTGTAAGATTACTTCTAGTCTTTTATTGCAATGCAGGGAGGCTCTGGATTGCCTCGCAGCGAGGCATCCGGTATCGTTAATGTGGGACCGGGGCACGCTGGGATAAGGGGCAATGAGATGGCGGACGCTGTGGCGAAGACAGGATCAGCCAGCAAGCTCGTTGGTCCTGAGCCAGCTTTAGGAGTGACCGCGCATAGAGCTAGGAGAAAAATGGAGACGTGGGTTGCAAGACAACACTCTCAGAAATGGAGAAGTATCTCCAGACATCCTCGCCAGGCATGGGAACTCATTGAAGGGCCCAGTGCTAAGGATGGACGTTTCTGCTTATCTCTGGATAGAGCCAACCTAAGGTTGCTGGTGGGACTGTTGTCTGGCCATAACACGTTAAGCCGTCACTTGCACGTGATGGGGGTAGCTGAGGATCCCTTGTGTGAGCGCTGCGGGGTAGAGGAAGAGACCACGGCGCACGTTTTGTGTCGCTGTGAAGCTCTGAGCTACTATAGGCAGACTATACTGGGGTCCATTACTTTGGGCCCTCAAGGAGCTTGGACTCGAGGCAATTCTTAACTTCGCTAAAAGGGCAAGGCTTGTGATCTAAGGAATGTAGAGGTGCATAAGGGCCCGCTTAAGCGGCCTATGCACTGGCTCCTTATGGTGGCCGGAATGCCTCTAATTTCACGATTCATTCGTTCATTCAAGCATGGCTGCAGGAAGCATTGGGAGAAATATGCTGAGTTTCATCTGCTGTATCCGTAGACAACATGCTAACGTATAAACTCACGCTATGTATGCACCGAATACGAACAGCAACTGCCGGCGTCGGCGTGTCAGCGATATCCCGAGCCTGAGTTCTATCATGTCGAATCCCGCACTTGTTCGTAGTTTTATGCACGAGTGACCAATAGCTATTGTAACGCATAGGCGGCTGCCGCGATGCATCTTTCTTGTGTAAATGGACTACGAATAGGGTATAGCGACGTAATCGCAGCAGCAAATTACATATACCACTTTAAAGGTCTTTTCATCAATATGTCATCTTTATCTCCAAACGAAAGACCTTTTCACTTACTCTTTAAGAATGTAATTCCGTTGTATATTCGAATTGACATTTTTCTTTTCTATAAAATGTCTGTTTTTGGGTAGCCTGATCTAAGAATATATTCAATATCTGTGTAAATATTTTGATAAATTGCTGTAGGTTCTGTTTCAGTGGTTACTCATCCCCTGCTACTATCGCAATCTACAAGTGATTCCAACCAGAATCCACATGCGAGAGCTCACAGAGCAAATCGTGCTAGAAGGTACCAATATCTATTTAGTCCAAGAAACCCAAATCCACCAGTCATCTTACAGAGGTAAGCATTTATCTACATACTTCAACCGAAACTTAAAGATATGCCATATCATACCAATGAATTCAGACTAGGTTGAAGAGGCCAGTCATGGATGGAAATAAATGATTATTATTATCATTATTTTTCAAAATGTCTACCACCGACTCTTATACATAAATAACCTGGCGTAGTTCATCGGCTGATCGAACTAGTTTTCCATAGACGTTATCTTTTAAACATCCCCAGTAAAAGAAATAGTGGATTCAGGTGGAAGGAGCGTGGGGGCCACAAAATTGCTCCTAGCCAGAAAATCCATTTTCTAGGGAATATTTCATCAAGATACCCCTTACTGCACTAGCATAGTGCGCAGGGCACCCATCATTCTGTAACCACATCCTTCTTTTTGTCTCAAGAGGCACATCTTCCAAAAGAATGCGTAGATAATGTTGCAAAAAATCTTTAAGTAAATTTAAGTTTTTGAGATCATTTGCCGATTTAGTCTGGCACATTTTTTTCACAGTAATTAGTCAGTCTTTAGTTCAGGTTTTCACATTGAAACAAAATGTAATAATTTATCAAACCATAAAAAAAAACTTAACAGTGGCAATATCTCCAAAACTAGAAACTTTTACTAGATCATGTTCAATCTGGCGTGTTATTTCTGGGACAACCTGTATATGGTGCTGAACAAAAACTTTTATGAACTGATCACGGCGTTGCGTGGGAAGTGCAAAGTCTACCTACTTGACGCCGTTTTTTCTACAAGGGTTAATTTGGTCGCGCTTTTATTTCAGCAGCTACTACTGAAATAGATTACGCCACATTAACTCATTTTTTTTGTTTGTTAAAAATATGTATTGAGTCGGTCTTCCCACATCTCGCCTGCTGTTTTTGATCTTTTTTTTATTATATTACATATGTGGTTAGGTTTGGAAATAACTCGATAGATAATCTAATTGATGACATAATTGGATGTAAAGTACAGCTAACCTTGTTGACAACATTTTTTCCCCAAAAACTGATTCGTGTTATGCTGGGGTTACCAGTTAGGCACAGGGTATGATGTCGCCAGCAAAATTACGCTACATTCATCACACGATCCTAGTTTGATGCAATACAAGGTTTGTCCGGAAAGTAATAGGACTCATTTTCTTCCGCCATGACTGTACTTCGGAGCGTGCGCGCACCGACTGGATTCGGTAGAGGGCGTTCCTAGCTAACGAATGAGCGGCTGGTCAGTTGTCTCCGAGCACTTGTAGAGTCAGGACAGGCATTTTCGCGCGACGTGTTTCTGTGAGTGGTGCAAGCCGAAAATGCAGCATTCGTTAGAGCAGAGGTACGCGATTAAATTCTGTGTGAAACTCGGTAAATCTGCGACAGAGACGTTTGATATGAACAAGCAGGCTTACCCAGGTGTTACTTTACCAAGAAGTGGTGTGTTTCGGTGGCACCAGGCCTTTTTGGAGGGCCGCGAAGAGGTCGCTGATGAAGACCGTTCTGGAAGACCTTCGACTTCGACAAACACCGATAATGTGACTCGTGTGCGCAAAGTTTTGAACTCGTCCGTCGACTAAGTATTCGTTTAGTTGCCCAGATGTTAAATTTACCAAAATCTGTGGTTCATGACATTGTGACACAGCATTTGAACATGCGCAAGGTGTGCGCGAAGATGGTCCCAAAAGTTCTCACTGACGACCAGAAATTGCGGCGCGTGGAAGTGTGCCAAGAAAATTTGAACATGTGTGAAAGTGACCCCCAATTTTTGAATAACGTAATCACATGTGACGAGTCGTGGATCTTTGAGTATGATCCCGAGACAAAGAGGCAATCTTCCGAGTGGCACACAACGGCGCCTCCTTGCCCAAAAAGGGGAAGAATGAGCAAATCCAAAGTGAAAACGATGCTCATTGTCTTTTTTGACATCAAAGGCATCGTCCACCATGAATTTGTTCCTCCTGGACAAACCGTCAACGCCAAGTTTTAAGTGGAAGTGCTCAGGAGACTCGAACGAAGGGTCAGTCGGGTCCGACAAGACATCGCAGCCGACTGGAAGTTGCACCACGACAACGCCCCGGCTCACACCGCCTTTCTTGTGAATAGCTACCTGACCAAGGCCGGCATCCCAACGCTTCCACAGCCGCCCTACAGCCCAGATGTGACCCCCCCCCCCCGCCTTCCGTGACGCCTTCAATGCTTGGAAATCGCGCTGGCAGCGCTGCATCGACGCAGAAGGAGCCTATTTTGAAAGTTTTTAAAGAATTGTAACGATTGGTTCAATAAATTTTTTTAAATTGACTTAGTCCTATTACTTTGCGGACAAACCCTGTATAATGGTTAAAGACCTTGAACTATATTAAACTGTTTTTATGCATAATTGAGATTTGACCTTCATCCTTTTCATTTTCCAGACTTTTGGGTCCACATGATCCCCACGTGACCAACATAATGTCGAACAACCTCTTGGGAGGCCCAACTGAAATCAGGGAATCAGCTAGAGTTGTGGTGATGGACAACTTTGGAATAATTCCGTCTAATGAAGAACAAATCGATTTTGTAGACCAGTCCGGTTACTTATTCGGACCTAGTCTTGCCGCTACTTTGAGTCACATTCCGCCTGTCTTGCATTGGTGGAATATCGAATCTAAGCTGCTCGACTTAGAGTCTGTCAATGACTGTACGATTTATGTGTGCAATAAACTAGTGCCCAGTTTGATAAAGCACAGAAACGAAGAATTACGCATCAAAAAGGCGAAAGAAGATGAAGAAAATGCGAAAAAGGAGAAACAGAAGTCCGGTACCGAACCTCAAGATGAATACAGCCAGGAGACGGTGCTCTTCAACTTCGAAGAGGCGGCCAACACAGCCAATGAGAATAATGAGCAAAATAATGAAGGTATGCATGGATATACATCTTGTCTCTCATTGTATTTTTTTCTTTCTGTCTCTGTATTCTGTCGAAATATTCCCTTTCTTTTATAGACATCAGTTACATCATTGTTTTCAAACTCTTGCTTTTAATTGAATGTTGTTCTTGTATCTTACTACTTAACTTGAACTTAGATGAGTTAAGTGCGTTACGAGTATGTAGGGTTAAGTGGAATTCCACTTATTCCTCCTCGAATGAAATCTGAACTTCGGCTGTTCCGGGTATCAATTCATACCTTTGTTCAGTGAATAAAGATTATTATTTTATTGTTATTATTATTACTGTTATTTATAGAAGGGTCAAAACCGTCGTGGTCGGAATCGAAATCATCGGTATTGAAATGGAAACCACCGGAATCGAAATTCTCGATTCCTTCAGGACCATAGGAATCAATTTCTGCTGCGGTATCGTTCCGTCGGTACGACTCGTTCAGAACCCATCCTACTTTTCAGCAAAGTCGAGATCTCTAGATAGATTAGATTGAAAGCTGGTGGCCCTATCATAAAAGTTTAAAATTGAAGTATAACCCAAAGAAAGACTAGAAGAGATGACCTTTAAATGCTACAAAAAGATGGCACGAACATATGGAAGAGTAGGTACAGCTGAATTGTTTGAATTTGTACTATGGTGTATTTTATGAAGTCAGAGTTAAACATCTTGAGTTCAATCATGGACAGTTTATGAGTTATCAAAAATTAAAGTTGAATAATACAGGCATGCCTTCTTAGGCGCTATATATAATTTCAGCAATGAAGAGTTGTCTCTACTTGTCAAACATAGATACGCACGCAGGCAGGCATCAATAACAATAGAAATCGTTGCTTTGACAGGTATTTGTACGGATACATGTTATCTGTTGAAACATATACAGGGGCTTCCAAGTTGAACTGGTACCTAATGTTACTGAATACTGCAATATCTGTGCTTTATCCATGTAGAAAAAAATGGGTGAGTTGTCGAAGATTGAATACGAACAAGAACTATCAAGGAGTAAAGATATGTTCCAATGCCCAAATACCTTGAAATTAAAACTCATTTTGTCAGATGATGCCCTCAGTGCTAACTCAGCAACTGGTCATTATCAAGGTTTGTACTCTTGGAGACTTTTATTCAGGAGATCATACTGCAAATTCAGCCAGTTCAACTGTACCTTCTCTCCGACTTCTTTGATTTTGACACTTTTTATTTTTGTTTTATAGAAGAAGAGGAGAACTATGACAGAGTTCCAATTCCAGAGACAGATCGAGCAGAAACTTCTGCAATTTCTGCAGACACTCCGGCTGAAAGAGAAGGTAGGACATTTCATTTGATTTTCTTTAAACTGTGTTGGTTTTCTATTGTAATTAATTGCTTGTGGATACATAGGTTGGGTCTTATACAGGGTATTTCAGAAGTATGGTTAAATATGTAAGGGGGTGATACTTGGGTCTTTTAAAAAAACAATATTGTGCCCTAACCGTTGTAAGTTTTGAGATACAGAATGGTAAAGTTCAAAAAAAAAATATATTATCGGCACCAATGAAATTTGGTATGCGGATACTATACATCAACATGCTCTGACCGCGTTCGAAAATGTTTTTCCAATACTGTATGGTCCTGTTTGACTTTTTCCTCAGAGGGACTAGTTTGAGTTGAACATAATCTTTTATAAACTGATAACGGCGTTGCGTGGGAAGTGCAGAGACAACCTACTCGACGCCATGTTTGTCATAAGAAAAATTATTTTCATTTCCTTCTGAACAAGTTTGATCTCTGTATTTTTTTTCACCTACGTACGGTTATCGTTATCGTTAGAGCTATATGACCATGCAGAAAAATGCGAAAGCCGTGAATCGATGGATGAAAAATCGAGTGACCAAATTTGCTCAGAAGTGGATGAGAATTATAAAAATAATTTGGTATGAGAAACACCCGTGTCTTTAAAACTGTATAGCTCTAATCCAAAATTACTCCTTGAACCGAACACAATTATTTCCTCCTCAAGTACTACCTTACTCCTGACACACCCTGTTTATGTATAGTGTGATACTTTATCGCCGTTTTATAAGTACACATGTGTCGACCTCTATTTTTTTAATATTTTTACAGGAATGTACGTCTGCGTTTCAGGTTTTTATGTTCTAAACTGTAGGTTTTTTGGTTGTTTTTTCTTTGTAAAAATATTTTACGACGGCCTAACTACCCAAAAACCAACCAAATAACGTTGGATGATGGCCGCGAAAGTCTTTCGCATTTCATGTTTTTTCATCAGCGGTAATTTTTATACAGGTTTTCCAGGTGTGCTTTGTTTTTGATGAAATTTTTATATTATATTATATATATATATATTATAAGTTTCAAGTAAGTTTATTTTAGGACTGGAAGGTATTTTACATTTCAGCTATTTCATTCGGAGGGTTTAATATTAATTATAGTTTCTAACTGCATGATAGGTTTAGAATAACTCTTTATTATTTGAAATATCTGACGTTTATGATATAACTAGGTATGGTTCTATATAATCACTATATACATCTGAAAACTTCAACGATTATTAGCTCTGTTTGATATATGATAGGAATGTACTATATTTTCTTGAATTTCAGCTGTTTCTCTTATAGGTAAGATAGTCTTAATTCTACCGCGAAACAGGTAGGGCAATTCTTGCGTGTCTTAGTGGACTGGTTTTGAAATGTCTGTCTTTGTGTTTGGCAAGAAATATTCTTAGATATTATTCAATTCATATTCACCCTTCATATACTAGATTGCTTTTGTTTGCTTGTTATTTGTTGATTTTTGGTGGTAGTTCTTTTGCGTTTCTTTTGTTTTGCATATCTCAATTCATTTTGAAACATAGTTGGGCATGTTGTTCCGTTTTCTAGATTCATATTTTTTATTTACTCACCCCATTGATTGATTAATTGATTGAATTGAACCTAACACTTTTATTTATCCACCCCATTGTTTTATATTTGGTTTACGTAAATTTGATGTATCAGCGAAATATCCCGTTCTAACTTGGCTAAATTAACGACTTGGTCAGGTATCACTGTTCAGTTCTTGTTCACAAATTACTACCCACGGCAAAACGCTCTTACTTGAGGAAAAACATTTATATAATAATGATGTTCACTATAGAACCCTCAGAGAAATAAGTACATATTATAATACACTGACACTTTTTAAAGGCAGTTATTACTTATAATGAGCTTCCTAAAGTATGAAAAGAATTTTTGTTACCTGTATTTGGACAAAACGTTACTTAACCCCCCAAACATAAAATTTACATAATCATTCATTTCTTTTTTATACCGTGATTTATTGAGGTTCATAATTTTTGGTGTCCTTAGGTGTGGAAAGTAATGCCTTTTTCTTTTTTGCTTTTTTCTTTGGATGTAACTAACTAAATCTTTTTGTGAATACATTATTGTTGTAAAAATCTGCCAGCAACTATGGTTAAGAGTAAAAGTAGTAGCATGCTACACTTCGCCATATAAGTCTCACATTTGGCTATTACGATGTAATTGAAATGTAAATAAAGACGTCTATTGTTATTATTATTATTATGGAAAAGAAAAGTAAAATAGGCAACCTGGGCTTCGGCACACCAAGCTGCTGTTCCATTAACAATTAACCACTCCTCACACAGTGAAGTAATCAGCTAGTCGGTTTGAAAATCGTGTGCCCTAAGTAGACGGAGAGAACCGAGGATGACCGCGATCTGCATTCTTCCGATTAAGATTCTTGCCAATGCTCGGCATACCGGTGTGGATTTAATTGCTGATAGCAGTGTATTCCTCATCCCTCAAGGAATCCATTGACCATGACTAGCAGACTGACACTGCGGTCTGGACAGAGCCTTATTATTATTAATTGTGCACCATTTTATTTTCAATTTTATTTCCAAGGCTAAATGCATTAGTATGGAATTTTTTGAATTTCAGTTAGCAAGCTATTTTCCAGCTACATCACCCATATCGTTCATTTTCGTTGGTCTGTCTGTTTGTCTGTGGTCGTTTTTTACTCGTAATCTGGTGCATTGATTTTGCTAAAATTTGGATAAGGGATATGATGTGGGATCATTGTAGGTAATACCGCTTAATTATTCAAATTCTTAAAGTGGCAGCCGTTATGAGCAGAAAAGAGAAGGTTTTAGATCGTTTTCAAACTTCTTTTTTGTTTGTTTGCACCTGTTTTAGTCTGTGTTGATGAGGATCTATAGGGTAAAGGGATCTGTCACTTTTTACACTTACCTTGTTCCTCTTTTAAAGTCTATACATTCTCTTCTGCAAGAGTTACATCTCCTTTCCTGTCTAAGGCGTAGACATCACAAATTAGGAGAATTGTATAAACGGAAGGAAGCCTACGAGAACATCTACTAATTTAATAGTTTTTTCCTTTACAGATTCAGCGCGTTCTTTGTGTTATATATTATATATTATATTATTGAATGTTTGTTTAGTAGATTCTGATGAAGAAATCTTAAGATCTCCAGTTGACAGAGAAGATTTAGAAGGTCAGCGCCTGTATCTGGATGCGTTGACAAGGCGTATTTTTAGACAGCCTTCGCCAAGGAGCGAGTTACAATTCTGCCAACATCAAACTATAGGTACATATCCATCAAATTTATTTTCATGTATTAATATTACCTGTACGTGCTTGTCTTTCATTATATTTTAGTGTAGAGGTGACAGTTCTATCATATAACCTCATTTCATTTGACTTACCTGTCTAATATGGCAACCAGCCGCCATTTAAGAAACAAAGAACTGTCACTTTTGCACCCGAGTATGAATCAATTTCATCATTCCATTTTGTAAGTAACCGCTCATGTAGCTTCTGCTGTACAGTCTGGGAAAATCAAAGTTGGTCTGCCAGGCAAGGTTAAACATTACTTTAAAATAAATTTAGCTCTTCAGAGTTTTGTAGGGGAAGGTTTGAACGTGGCAACCTCAAAAATAATTTTTACATGGGTTCAGAGTATTGAAAATGTCCACTCTTAGAGTTTTAAATGTTAATTTTAGAGAATAGTTACTAAGGATATTTTTTTATCGAATATCCGAAGAACTTGATTAGACTTCGTCCAGTAACTCGGCGCAAATTTGTTCAAGCATTTTTTAGACAAATTAGAAAACTGTTTTTTTTTGTTGGGAAAAGGTTTTTCTTAACAGCAAAACTTGGTAACTTTTCTCTCAAGTTGACCGTTTTCAATGCCTGAAGAAATGCACATTTTCAATGCTTGAAAACTAAAAAATTATTATTTATAAAATAAAATACTCCTTTTAACATGTTAGTAATTATTATTATATTATTCCGCAAACTATCCGACGAACAAGCGCCTAACGTCATACCCAGTGTGACCTTTATGTGCATATAAATACAGTGAAAGGTCCCATAAGCGGACACTCACGGTTCCGTAACTTTTGTCCGCTTATGGGAGGTGTCCGTTTAAAAGAGAGTATGTAAGTATAGAGTATAAATAACGGGGTATATAATCATGAGGAAATGAGGTATTATAATCATGAGAAAAATGAAACAGAAACTCGCCACATTTTTAAAGTATGTATTTATGCTATATATCTATATAATATATGTACATATACGCATACAAAAACATAAATGCTTCAATACATGGTACGAGAATTTAAAAAAAAACATTGTTCTTTAGCTTGTTGAAAAAAGTTTAAAATGTTTGTCTGACGAAATTTCACCATCTTTTGCTGAAGGAGACAATTTTCGTAATAACTTTCTAAATTTTTCAAATGTTGAAATGCAGTGAAATCATCTTTAGCAAATTTTTTCAATATAGAAATATGATTTAGAGCTTCCCCATATGAATTTATCGTTTTTGAACCGCTTAGTGAGTCCACCAGTTCCACTTCTTCTTCTGAGTCGTTTGGACTACCATATTCAAGTTGGCCTGGGCTTTCTACATCCAAATTCGAAAAGTTGCCAATGGCATTTTCTTCTGTTGTTATGTTATTGTCTATGGCCAGGAAATCATCTACTTTCTGGGGATCTGCTACTCCTAAATGTTTGGCATGTCGCAGTAACTGAGCAAGTGTCGCTAAGGGCAGATCGTCTTCAGCATCGCAATAATTTTGCTCAGCAAATTCTGAGCTACATTCACTTTTTCTGAATCCAGCTTTGCCAAAACAGTTTTTAATTGTAGAGGAATTTACTTTATTCCATGCTGTTTTTATAAAATACAAAGCTTCTAACACATTGATAGACTTTGAAAGCTCAGATAAGCTTTGACCATCGTCAATTTTTGTTAAAATATGTTTTAAAATCAAGTGCCGATAATAAAATT